TCCAAAACATGGAAATAACTCACTGTACACCAAGATCTCCAGTCGAGAAAACATCCATCCTCTTCAACCCAAAACAAGCAAACATCTCTACACTCCATCGTCCCAATCCTCTCACCGCTACTAGCTTCTCGATGAGCTCTTCATCGCTAGCACTAACCAGCATCTCAGCGGAGAGCTCACCGGCCGAGAATTTCTCGGCGATTCCATGGATATATTCTGCTTTGCGTTGGGAGAGACCTGCTGTACGCAATGTAGGGATATCTTTGGTGAGAACCTGGGCGGGAGAAGGAAAAGAAGGGTGTGTCTCAGGGAAGAGAGCAGTAAACTTTGCACGAATTGATGCGGCTGCTTGGCCTGATACCTATAGGTAGATTGTTAGTCATACACATACGTCCAAACTCTTCTCCTCTATAATGATCTGCAGCGATTCGTTCTGCATATTTCTCCTCGATTTTCCTGATGACAAACAATATTACCAAGCCATACTTACTTGCTGTCCGATAATCCCCTTTCCCAGCGACTCGAACGGCCTCACTACTTCTCTCAATCCATCTGGACTAAAAATCTCACACTTGTGTCCTCTTACGACTCTTTCTAATTTAGAATCTGTCTTGATAAGGAACTCCTCTGCGTCTTTCAACAGATTATCGATGTCCGTGCTCGCGGGGGGAATGGCACCAACATCCGGCGGGACAATCTCTTTTGCTTTTCGCTTCTTGGCAGGCGAAGGGTCCGCAGGATTTGCAGGAGACGAAGCGTACGCTTGCACCACGTGCGAGCCATTTGGAGTGGCCAAATTGGCGTTTGTGGTGTGAGGAGCTGCTGGTCGAGCGGTGGGATCAGAGTGAGAGAACGAAGACGTAGAGGAGTAGATGCTAGCACCAGCAGGTGTTGGTGTGAATGATGGTGGTCTTAGTGGCGATTCTGGTTCTGATGTTGACTTCGATACCGCTTTGCGCTTCTTGGGTAGGGGCGTTGCTGGGAGGAATGAAGCTGGATTCACTGAATCCGAGCTTTCTGCTCTTTTGGTAGTACTTTCGCTCTTGGTTGCATCGTGTAATGTTTTGGCAGGCGCCTTTGTGGTTTTGCGCTTCTTTGCAGGTACACTCGCTTTGCTGACTTTCTCGTATTTCGCAACACTGTCCTGGGCTTTGACATCCAATGGTACTGGCATGACATTACTTGCAACGCGAGCTGAGCGTCTCAGAGACATGTTTTGAGGTTTGTACAGAATGTCAGTCGTTCTCGTGAATAGGGAGGTCTGACGTCATTTGGTTAGGATATATGATGGGAACAAGGGTGCGACAACGTACCGTCTGCTTTAATACTCTTGCTGTTGATACAATTTGGTGAATCATGTAGTGTTGTTAGTTGCGTGGATTGAGAGACTGACGCGATGCGCTTGAGCTGACGCCTGAGCACATGACAGCGTGGCGCTGACATATCCGGAACCCTGACACTCGGCATTCTCGTTTGAAGCGATCGACACACGGTCCGCTTCTCATAACGGCCTGTAGTAAATCCGTTTCGTATGATGTGCACTGCATGTTACACACATTCCATCTCTGTTCTTTTTGGCCGCGCACTTGGTACCTCCTGTCCCTGATAATTGGGTATCAAGAAATTGCATGACATAAGGAAGGGACGCATGAACACATGTCGCTGTAACGTGTACAGACTTGGCCTTTCATTTCTCTTGCTACGATGGATAGATGAAGAAGCACCACATATGCCGAGCTTGTTGCGCTTTGTCAACGCTTGCCAGGCGCATACACTAGAGTCATGGCGTTACCGTCCAAAAGAAGTCATTGTTAGCACATAATAAGACAAACCAACTTGCGAGTGTGCCAAGGCTTGTAGAAGCGCATGAAAGCGCCTAGAGAGAAAACGAACAAGCATACTCTGATGGAGATGAGTCCTGTACAAAAAAAAGTTGGTATGGTACACTCTATCGCGCGGCCCTCAGACTCGATCCACCAAGCTTCCAATTGATCATGCCAGACTCGATATGTACAATCTAGTGTCCACTGCTGGCGGCGGCGTTCTTCTGCCTCTTCTGGATAACCATAGCCTCGAGGTCCTCGCGCTCGTGCATCTCAGCCTCGATGTCGGTGATGAGCTCGGAAAGGTATGGTGTGTCCTTGTGCATTGTCAGCGTCTGGTGTTGATGGTAGGGGCGGTACTCGTACATCCTCAGCCTTGGTCCACTCCTCCTTGGGCAGGAGCTGGTGGGACATGGAGAGCTGCGGTAGATTAGCGACGCTTGCCGTGTCCTGAATATCTGGTTTGGCAGTACCTGGAAAGCTCGGCGCAGACGGAAGACACGGTCGTAGGCTTCCTGTGGTCGGAGACGCTTCAGGGCAGTCTGCACGACATCGTTCTCCTCAGGGAGCAAGTCATCGGCCCTGCATCACGGATCCCGTCAGCCCATCGGTTCGCAGCCCGCTGTCCTCTCCATAGCATGCGTATCGGGGGCTCCGTACCTCAGACCGAGCTGCCTGTAGCCGGCGGCGTTGCAGTACCAGTTGGCCAGCGGCTTCATCCACTTCTGCAGCCACGGCCGCTTCATGATGTAGGGGGCGAGAGACGGGGCAGACATGGTTGCGGTTGTTGGACGGCGGATCCGGGTAGTCGCAGGCGGGTGCTGTCGTCAATTGCAGTTTTGACGGTCGGAGGTGGTGAGGTCGTAATGCGAAAGAAGCGAAAGCCAATAGGCCGGCGGGCAGCGCTTGGCCCGCAGAAGGCCTTCGCCTTAATCAGCGCCCGGTCTCCACCCACCAAAGCAACTTCACTCGTGCTCCACGCTAGCTCTGACGTCTGATCCACGAACCCAGCTCTGCACCCCAACCCAACCCCTCAGCCTTACTCGCGCACATCGCTCACGTTAAAGGCAAAGGCTGGCCGACGACCATCCCCTCGGCGACTTCCTCACGCTCCGTCCGCCTGTCAATGGAGCCGAACAATCGCTAGTCATCGTGTTACTCGAGTGCTGCGGGGTTTCCGCAACACTGAGGCACCGCAAAGGGGACGACGGCCTGTATGCATGCACCCTCTGTCTCCGCACTCGGCGCGAATGGCCCTAACAAGTCGACGACTGCAGTACCCCCAATGTCCACCACTGATTCCGAGCCGCCGTCCCCGACTAAAGTTCCCGATCGGTATGCGCCATCCGCCGCGACAGTTGGACCGCGAGATATGTCATCCCCAAACACGCACAGTACGTGGAGTTCGCCCGTTGCCGCTCTCGCCGTCAGGGTCTCCAAACTCCCCGATAGCTCCGTCAATGCACTGTGCGGAGCTTCTGCTGGAGTTGCCTCGGGCATTGTAACGTGCCCGCTCGATGTCATCAAGACCCGCCTGCAAGCGCAGGGCTCTTTCCGCCCCAGGACGTATACTGGCCCAACGCGCGCAGTGTACAAAGGCCTGACCGGCACCGCACGCGTCATATGGATCGAGGATGGCATGCGCGGCCTGTACCGAGGACTCGGCCCCATGCTGCTCGGATACATTCCAACCTGGGCTGTCTACATGAGCACTTATGACTCTACCAAAAACGTCCTCTATCCTCAGATGGGTTAGTAGTGCACTCGGCGTCCGAGTTCCAGTTGCTGACAAGATTCAATCTACAGAAAATAAATGGCTGGCCAGGACCATCGCCTCTTTGTTCGCTGGTGGTTGCTCGACGCTAGTCACAAATCCCATATGGGTCGTCAAGACAAGGCTCATGTCCCAAGTCAGCGCCCGCGCCTCGCCCGAACACCGGCCACCCTGGCACTACACAAGCACCTTTGATGCCTTTCGCAAGATGTACCTCAAGGAAGGCATCATGTCCTTCTACTCAGGCCTTACACCTGCACTGCTTGGCCTCACCCACGTCGCTATCCAATTCCCGCTATATGAGTTTCTCAAGATGAAGTTTACCGGTCTGGAGATGGGCCAGACAGACGCCAAGACAGAAGATGTGCACTGGTTTGCTATTGCATTGGCAACAGTCTTGAGCAAAATGACTGCGACTTCTGCGACGTACCCACACGAGGTCTTACGCACTCGGCTGCAGACACAGCAACGGTCGCTTCCCTCGCACTCGGACAACCATGTATCGTTCCGGGGAGGCCAACACGACCGGTTTCACACTCGCCCACCAGGCACAGCTTCGTCGGATGGTATGATAAACTTACCGAGGTATCGCGGTATCTTGCGAACATGCACCGTCATCCTTCAAGAAGAGGGATGGAGAGCCTTTTACAACGGAATGGGCACTAACATGGTCCGCGCTGTACCTGCGGCGGTCACGACCATGTTAACATTCGAGTCGCTCAAGGCCGTACACCAGAAACTCAAGAACGAGGGTAAGAAACTACAACATGAAGTCGAGTGATGGCGGACAGCTGGGTCTCGCCTTCCACTTCACATGAACCGATGGGCATATTACATGGCGTTTAGTCGTGGGTTAGGAGTGGAGATATCCTAGTGAGCACTCCTGTTCTGCTTGTTTATACGTCTGTACATACACGACAGCATCTTCGGGCATTGTCAGCATTAAAGCTTTGGCGTTTGTAGGACAATACGGTTGATTTTCTATAGGTTCTCGCAAGTACAAGCTCATTTAACACTTGATCGAGGCAACCAATTATATGACTGTGTAAATATACTACTACCTATGAGAACGCCCCTAACATGTATACTTTTATCAGACCCTTGCGCAAAGCATGTCAACATGGCGGTCAACATCGCAAACGCAGCACCGCATACATTCGAGTCTTGATCACCACCAATGACGGTGAGTCGACGTGTCTACACGCAGATCAGCGAGGCCAGATTCACATATGTTGAATTGACAAACACCCACGCCACAAACCGTGCTTCCTACAGTCATGCAGGTCATCCCTCTCTGAATTGTCCATGCTTCACGTCCTAAACTTCACACCCTTTGCCAGGCTATATCCTTTTTATGTGACTCGCATTGTCGATCCTGGCGTTTTTGTCGACATCCCACCGTCATGGCCCATTGTACAGCTCCCGCAGAGCCACATATAATGCCCCCGCCTATCCCCATCCGCAGCCACCTACGAAACGGATCAGCATATCAGAAACGTTTGCACGCTATCCGTTCTATGTCCACAAACTCTAAGGGCGCCCCATCGTTTCCTTTTTCTCTGAATCTCCTCGAAGAGTTTGATCATGAGTTGACGGAAACACAGAGTTTAGTCAGTGCAATTCTGGGCGACAAGAACATGAATAGCAAGAAAGAATCTTCATGCTGGGATAGTGGGAAAGAGACCGATACGATGACCGAGAGAAGGCAAACAGGTAGCACTCTGGGAGACATGTGCTCCAGTGAAGTTGAGTCCAAAGTGAGCTACTGCGATGGTTACCCAAAGATATTACGATTAGATCCATTAAAGATATCCTCGACAGCTGCAACTAATTACAGTCGAAACGCTACAGGAGATCAAAGTGAGAGTCTTTTCGGGCAAATCGGGGTGCGGGAATGCGTGCCTTCTCTACGAGGAAGTCACGACGGCACAACTTCTGCGAACCGCACGAACCACGCGATCTACTCCAACAACACATTACCACCCTCCGACTACAGTGCCGAGAAGATGGATACAAATGTGCCGGGTTGGCCCGCACAGGAGCTTCTCAGCCCTCGTTCTGATGAGCCAGGCTCCCCAAGGCAGGCCACCAGCAATTCTGATCGCCCCTTCCCTTCGAGACATGTCAATCTCTCGCTCTTTCCACCAATGTCTCCTTCGACTGGGAATAGAGAATACACACCACCAGGCAGCCCTTTCTCTCGGCCTATACGCCCAATGTCTCCGTTGAGCAATGGGAGGGATGCTTATGGCAATTACATAGCTTCGAACAAGCTGGACTATTTGAAGATACATTCCCCACTAACATCGCCTGTTAAACGGGCCGTATCGGACAGTCAGGAACACTCTGAACCGGATATCTCGTCACCTATCGTACATCTTCGTGGTGGAGGCTGGAACGACTTCAAATCGTTCTGGAAGACAACTGACACCAATGAGATTGACCAACCATTTGGTTCTACTTCTTTGCAAGAATCTGTCGACAAGGAGGGTATTCTTCGAGTTGTTTCTCCGATCCACTATATCGAACGTCCGGAAAGTCGAGCACCGCAAAGTGTGCGATCGCAGTTCCAGATCAGTCGCGCTGGCAAGGTTGACAAGATAACAGAAGAGACGCCAAGGAGACCATGTACCGTCGATAAAAGGCGAGATGGCCAACTCTTCAGAGAGATAGGCACAAGGCAAGGCTCGAATACTTCGGACTCTGGAGTTACGAACGATAGCTCTATTCATAGGGCTTGTACCGAGGCAGTCTTGAATCAGTATTTTGGGCCTCAAATGTCTCTACCAATAAGAGATGGACCGCAGTCACCTCCAATCGACAAAACCTTGGCACCACCGAATCTTCAAAGTGCGCCGACAGGCGAGAATGAGACGACGTGTCACTCCATGAGCCCTTCGTATCCAGTTGCGAGTAGAAAATTCGCTTTATGGAACAATGTGGAGTCAAAAGAACATCAAGGTACTGATGCTACATTGCGAAGTCATATGGTAAACCCAAGGGACAACAAGAGGTGGGCCAGAGAACGTCCTACTCCGCCGCCTATACTCCCACTGTCAAACCCACCCAGATGCCAGCGAGCCGATCCATCCGAAGCCGACGTGTTCGAAAGTTCTAATGATGACAGTTGTCGAGCATCATCATTGCTATCCGCCGGGACTTTGGACGATAACTTGATGGACGTGCTAGGTTTGGAGAAAACTGATGCGTACAGAAGATTTAAGCATGAGCGTGCTATTCAACTTATACAAGAAGAGAGACAAAGATACAAAGAGGCAGATTGTATATGTGATGTGAACGTAAGACTACAAGAGGAACTGCGACGGCGAGAGCCTGATCTGAGCACAACAGTGCTGGACGATAGCTTCACTGCGGTCATGAGACGCCAATCAACCGGCAGACGGCACGAACTAGAGCGTATGGCAGTCTCGGATGAGCGTCGCCCTCCTGGATCACCTACGCCATCGCGATATCTCCCTCGCTATGGCCGTATCACAGCTAAAGCTCAGGTTGTACCCCAACAGCGGAACGCGCAGTACCTTACCATCGGCTACCCTTCTATCGTATCTACACCAGGAGTTGCTGAATCAGCTCCTATCAAAGGTCAGAACCCTTTGCAGACAGTTATTTCGAAGGCAGGGGAAATCAGTCGTTTGATTCTCGCTGCGCCTTCAGGCTCGAGATACAAGACGTATTCGAAACGGCATCCTCTGGCGGAGTACCAAGAGAAGAAACCACAAGGATTGGGAGCAGATGCTACTGGATGGCCCAGAAATGGTAAATCGTTCTCCACGGCGGCAAAAGGGATGCTCATATCGACTCAAGTACCCAGCTCGGAGACAACTTTTGCTGGCGTTCAGCCACCGAGAGGCAGAAGAGTAAACAAAGTCAAGGAACCGAAGCACAAGCAATGGGGTGGAAGGTGGGGAAGAAGGTTGAAAGAAATCGCAATTCCGGGAGACATCGCACCTACAGACCTGCGCGGAGGTGGATCCTCCGCTACATCAACTGCAGACACGAACCGTCGCCCTAATCGGTCAAGAGGTGCGACACGGCTTCAACATACGAGATTTGTCAGAAGCGGACCTCGTGCACGTTCGTCGTCACCTAAAGCGTCAACAATTATCCTTCCCGTGAGCAAACAATTGGAACATACTTTCGCCACTGTAAGCATACCTCTATAAACTGCATGTGAGACATATACTAATCTCGCGCGTTTGCATTTAGACCAGTGATGCAGTACGCACGCCGCAAACACGGTTTGATCTGCCAGACAGTGAAGGCAGATGCTTCGTCCGCCGCGACGACAGAGAGGTACTCCCACTAAGCCCTGCGCCCGGATCCCCATATCACGATAGACTGAACACATGCTACGAATTTGATACCGCGGATGCTGCGACGCTGAAATGGCTAGAAGGAATACACACACAGACTGGAGTAATTGCCGAGCCTGTCGTCAATATGAGAGGGGGTGACGTTCTATTTACGATGGGAGAAGCAAGCAGTCTATCATCGTATTATCTCTCCCTAACCTCAGAGGCAATGACTTTAAACAGTGACAACGATACGATCGATAACTCGAACATAGACGCCTTGCTTGTGTCGACTACACATCTCAACATCAATCAAATCACCGACGTGGCCATTACGCCAGCCAACGGCATTAGCGAGGACGATATTAGACCCCACTTGTACGAAGCCAATGTTCGGTCTAGTTTCAGTACTGACTCTACTATTGAGCTTCGGCTGAAGATGAATGCTAAGAAGAATATATGGCGGAATGAAGACCAGGCTAGGGCGATGGCGATGGCTATGCATTCTATTGGGTAGGAATACTTGGGGTCTACAGGGATGTGCATCTTGTGTAGGAGAAAGATGGAGTAAGATTGAGCTTCTCAAATGTAGCGAGGGCTATGCGTAAGGGGAAGGCCAGTCGAACTTAGCTCTAGATGGCTATCAGAAAGCTTACACGTGAGCTGGGCCATGAACATGCGAGTTCCATCTGAAGTCAAAACTTCTCATACATCTGTATGAAATCCGGAAATATCTCATATACGCCAAACAAAGGACTTGTTATACAGAGTTGAGATCGTACCACACAAAACGCCTTGAGATGCCCATACCATGTCATGAAATCATCAGTAATCGCAATGATCGTAATCGTAGAGCGATCCCATGCCCGCGGCAGTAAGAACATACTCAACAGCCTGGCTTCTATCCCAAAAGTACTCGCGCATCCATGTCGAAACCATATCAAGCGCTGAGACAGACGAATTGCTTGTCCACACTTTCTCGTGTCGAGCCCAGGCTGAGCGCTGCCAGAGCGTTTCGGGATATTGCTGCTGGAGAACGGGAAGCAAAGGCTTAGGTGCTGCAGCTCGTGTTCCACGTAAGATACCCGATTGTACGAGGTGACATATGCCCGAAGCAATGCTCATGATGGCAATGAGATTGGGGTTCAGACATTGTGACGTGAGAAATGAGGTCGCCTCCACAGGCAACTCGCTTGACGAGAAGGATCCAGGGATGAAGAGAATGTCGAATTGAGGCGCGTTTGCAAATGAGTTCTGGGTAGACGTCAGTTACAGTACCCGAGAGGATGTTAGTGCGAATGATGGGTAGAAACAGGGGCGTGTGTTAACCTTTACCTCCCTGCCAGACTGTCAGAGATGACTACTTGTGAAAGGCAGCCAAGACCAGGCGAATCCAGCACGACCAAAAAGTTGGCTCTTCTTGGCCAAAGGAGTTGGCTGTACGGGGGATGTATAGGTGTCGTGTTGTTCGTGTTTCGATGTGGAGCAATTCGAAGCTTAGCTCACCGTCACCGGCATTCGCGTGCCAGCCGTGACAGGAAAACTCCCCTCTCCGGTCACACTGACATATCGAATGTCGACTTCGTCCACGGCGTGCTCCATGGCTACTGCTGTGGCGTTCGTTCTACAGATCCTGTTCCTTCCGACCATGGCGAGCAGGTCGAGAGCGGCTAGATCGGCTAGTTGGACTTGATCGTTACCGAGAACAATGACACCAATGCGTAACGAGGAGCTTGACGGAGGTGCGTAGTGGATGTTGAGGTCTTCTTCAGAGGTTGACGATGTCGTGCAGAAGTAGAACAGATCTGCTGAACTCGGAAACGATATTGAGCTTCTAGGTGGAGACGGCATGAGGATATATAAAAGATAGTATGAATGAGTGGAGATTGGAAACAAACAGATAGATTTGTTACTGATCGGGCGAGCTGGCAGTGTGCGATGTTCTCACCATGTGGCCTCAGGACGGCTTTTATATGACCTTTCCTGTAGGCCCTTTTGCATGACTGAAACCAAGGTAGCAGTGACAAGGATAGTGGATGCCATACTCAAGCGTCATACGGATACGCATCCCGCGCTTACTTGGAACATCTTCGCTGTACTGCCGATCTGCATTAGTGAGGCCCGGAGCTCAGCCCCTTGAAGGCTTGCTGACTTAGTCCGGTTAGAAGCCGCTCGCGAACCGACTGTTCCCGACCACACCCATGCTCTCGTATAACAAGGCGTCACGTGGGCGCTCGACGGTCTCGATGCATCGCTTTTCGTTCAAGATGAGTTGAATATGTCTTTGGGTGATGATGGTTGCTCAACTTGAAATGTGGTTGCCTGTTGCCATTGCGTATACTGGCGTGCAGAGGCTGCCAGGTATCGCAACTCGCTTCCATGCCAGCGGATGAACGCATTCGGTAGACGGCACGAGCAACGGGTGCGCCGAGATGTGGGTAAGCACTTGAACGCATTCAATCATCTCAAAGATGATTAGACGGTGGCTGTGAGCGGAGTTAAAGGGAAATGTCGGAGATGTTTGGAGGGAGCTTGAGGCTAAGAGGTTCGGCGAAGCGCCTTAGAGCTAAGGAACTGAAATCTGCTGGTCAGATGTCGTGGGATTACATCAGTGCCGGAAATTTGACTGCGACAAAGATAGCAAATAGAATAGCGATGGGTGAGCTTGGACACGGTGGCTTCTCGACAAGGGAGCGGCGACCCGGCTTCAACTCGTGGCATGTGACGTCTGCGCACCGCTTGTGGCAGTAGCAATCTGGTGGAACACCGAGATGCCGCGACGCTGTAGGACTATGATGGCGCATGTGCATCACTGTTGAGAGGTTGGTATCATCTCCTAGGTAGATCAAACAGTCTTGCAACAATGATGCAACAGGTCTAATCGAGCCAGAAAGTAAGCTCAGTTCACGTCACATAGCAAGGCAGATGTATGTGGTAAGGGTATCCTTCATTCAATCGCGGTATTTATAAAATCGCTCCAGATGTAGAGGGCCGTGGCGGCAGCACAGAGCTTGCTCGTAAACACGACCGTGATGTCCATCGCTCGCTCCCCCCAAAAGAATTGTACCAGAAAGTCGTCGTACGTGGGTCGGTACGTTGCGCTGCCTAGATGTCCTTGGCCTCACCATCAGCCTCGCCAGACTTGATGGTCTTGCCAGTCTTCTTGATCTTCTCGAGGACGGTGTCGTAGGATAGCGAGTCGGCTGCCTGAATCTCGGCGGTCTGGGTCTCGAGCGATACATTGTAGGACTCAACACCTGCGACATGATTAGAGCAAATTTCGCATGGGTTTTGGCACTTGCTGCATATCCCAGCGCACAGCTAATGCAAGGAAGACTGACCATCGAGCTTCTTGAGCACGCGCTCGATGGCGCCGGAGCAGCCGCCACAGCTCATGGCAACGTTGAACTTGTAGGTGTGCGTCATTTTGTAGGTTGTTAATGTGGTGCGAAGTTATAGAATGATGTTGCTAGCAGTATGTCCAAAGCCTAGTGCGGGTCGTGGGGTTTTTATGTGGCGTAGTGGTTGGATTTGGTCGATAACTGTGAAGAGCAGTGGCGACTGGTATATATAGGATTCACTAGCGGATGGACCTGACGAACAACGGAAGCGCAGGTTTCAAGATGGTGTTGTAATTCGGCTAGATTGTTATAGATTGTGGTCGCGCCCCGCTGACATATCGAGCTTCCATCACGACATTCCGGGTTGTGGAACCGGGCGCGCCTCAGCCATGTACACTGACCGCATCTCGTTTGACGTGCCGACAGTTTGGTGGCATGAAACATGCTCATTGAGGGTCCGGGAGCGGGCGATTTGGTTTGATCGCTGATGCCATGGCGCCAGGACACTGTGTCCTTGATCCTGTGACTCGTAAATTGCCGCGTTCGGTTTTACAAGTCGCGCATACTTCAACGCGCTGAGTGTTCAACACTTGGCTGGTGCGAGGCTTCGAATGGTTCGGTTTCCACGGCGGGAAAGACCGAACTCGTCTCCGCCCCGGATGTCGTCGTGTCAGCGCACGTTCTCCAAGACGAACGCGCCGCCTGAGATGGCAGAAGACGCACCAGATTCATACAATGTCGATGCCGGTATAGGAAATGTCGCATGTGCTGGGCCCTTGTTCCTGCAGGTGAATGAACCCTGAGAAGGCACCCGCCCCACGTTAGCTAGCGCGGGGCTCAAGCTGCATCGCTCACCTATGCCCAACAGCTTGGACCTTGCTGCGGGCGGTGACGTCTTCCTACTGGACTTGTGTAAACAACGCCGAACATCTCTTTCCTATGGCCTCGTGAGTAAAAACAGCCAAGCGGAACACGATAAAATTTACAAAATGGCCAGCAACATCCTGTTCCTCCCGTTCCGACGGTCACACTCGGTAAATCTCACCGACGCGATCAAGCAGTACATATCCTCCAAATATGACCAACATCCAGACATGTTCACCAAAGACCTGGAGACGATCGAGAAGCTCCGTTCGGTCGCCACACACGCCCAAGAACCGCATCCCAGCAACATCCCGAAGCTTCAACAATACGCGGCGCAGCTGATATGGCTGAGTGGGAAGTTTCCCATTGACATTGGCGTAGAGTTCCCATGGTATCCTGCGCTGGGATACAATACGAGCCGGCCGACATCGCGCAACAACCTCCGCTTCGAACTCGCCAACATCATGTTCAACCTCGCGGCCATGTACTCGCAGCTAGCCATGTCGTCGAACCGAAGCACGCCCGACGGACTGAAGATGGCAGCCAACAACTTCTGCCTCGCCGCTGGAGTCTTGTCGCATTTGAGGAACACCATCTTGCCAGAGATACGGACAGAGCCGCCAGAGGATATGGATTTGATGACACTCGAGTGTTTGGAAAAGCTGATGTTGGCACAAGGGCAAGAATGTTTCTGGCAGAAGGCCGTCAAGGATGGAATGAAAGACGCGACTATCGCCAAACTAGCCGCTCGTGTATCTGATCTTTACAACGAGGCGGGAGACGCTGGGATACAATCGGACGCTATAAGCAGCGAGTGGATACACCACATGACGGCAAAGCACCACCACTTTGCTGCTGCTGCTCAATACCGTGCAGCCTGCGATTCCCTCGAAAAGCGCAAGTATGGCGAGGAAGTGGCACGACTACGTGATAGTCTGACTTGCGTGAACGAGGCCCTCAAGGAGCAGCGCTACATTAACAAGGTCGTACTTGCAGACCTGAACGGCTTGAAGAACCGCATCACAGAAGACCTGAAGCGGGCCGAGAAGGACAACGATATGATCTACCTGCTACCCGTACCGCCAAAAGCAGAGCTCAAAATCCTCGATCGAGCCAACATGGTTGTGTCAAGAGTTCCAAAGGAGATAGCTGAGTCCAACTCCATGTTAGGAGAGCGCGGTGAGCTTGGCCCAGCGCTTTTCTCCAAGTTGGTACCTTATTCCGTGCACCTGGCAGCTAGCATATACGTGGACCGCCGTGATCGTTTGGTCAATGGTACCATTGTTGAAGAGCTAGAGGCATTGACCAACAAGATCCATGAGGTACTCCGCAGCCTGAATCTACCGGGCTCCTTGCAGGCTCTTGAGAAGCCACTAGGACTACCGCCAGGTCTTGTAGCACACGCCGAAGAAATTCGCCAGCAAGATGGCATCAATCGTCTCTTACGCTCGATGGAGGATACGAAGAAGCTCATGTACACGGATCAGGCTATCTATCAAGAAGGCGTCGACATACTCAGGTCGGAAGCCGCAGAGGACGAAGGCGCACGACGCAAGTTTGGCACAGAACGTTGGACCAGACCCCCCGCAGAACAAGCTGCACCTAAGCTCTATGCCCAGATCAACGAAATTGATGGCTACTTCAAGGCCGCCACTAACAGCGATAATATTGTGAAGACAAAGTTGAAGGAGAATGAGCACTTCATACGCCTACTCAGCGGACCAGATCACGAGCTTGAAAACTATGTACCAAGTGGTAGGAGACCCGCAATCACTGGAGATGTCGAACGCGAAGCTGGCAAGCTTCGCGGTAGCTTCAACGAGGTCAGTAGGCTCGAAAGCAGGCGAAGACGAAAGATCGAGGCATTGCGAACAAAGGCAAAGCAGGATGACATAAGTAAGTGTCACGCATCTTCACACATGCCATATCCTGACAGTGAACTAGATCCGGAATTACTGCGTGAAGCTGCTCGCTTAGAGCGGGAGTACCCTATGCAGACAATCGAGGCTGTGCAGTTCGAAGGGCTTTTCGACAAGCGTCTCCAGATGTATGATGCCGACCAAGACATGATCAAAGACGAAGAGAATGAGCAAACAGAGGCCATCAAGCGACTACAAGATGCAAACGCAGCATTCTTAATCGCTCGTCGCGGCGACCAATCAACGAAGAAGCGTGAGCAAGCGTTGCAGAACCTGGAGAATGCATACTTCAAGTACAAGGAGATCATCTCCAACCTCGACGTCGGACGAAAGTTCTATAATGACCTCGCTAAGATCGTGAACCGATTTAGAGATGAAGCGCGGACTTTTGCTTACAACCGCAAGTCAGAAGCGTCACACCTGGAGGGGTACGAAAATGTCATGGTCAGTTCCAAAATATATGCTAATGTTGCTAGCGATCTTACTACACGAATGAGCTCCCTCGGCCTTCAGCAAGCGACGACGAATTCGCTGCATCAGCAGAAACAGGCAGACGCACAAAACCCAAATTATGGTGCCACTGCACATGCAGAGGAGCCATTAGCAGCTCCAACGCCGACCAGAGCAAACGTACCTCCGCCGTCCGGTATGTGGACACCAGAGGTCGGAATTCGATTTGGTGGTGTGCCTACATCGTCTGGCAATGCTCGACCTTCGGCTGGTCCTCCGCAGGATGGGCGATGGGATCCTGCGCAAGGTCTGAAATTTGGTTAAATTGCGGGCCTGAGGCGGCAATTCATTTCTTTGGACATTATTCTCTAGGATACCCATTGTAAGAACAGAAGCATTACATTGCTCCGACTATGTTTCTAGACTTTATGTTGCTGTGACGGATGCGTAGCGAGTGCGAGCTACTAGGATGCATAGAAAACACGGGACGCTGGCAGAACCAACGTGGTCGCAAATGCACTGACCTGTGGATTCCTCTCCCAAGTTACTGGGGGCGTGTTTTGCACATGGGCTCTGTACAGCACATTGTTTAGCACATGGAGAGGAAAGCCAAGGTTTAGACTCGATGTATATGCACGTATGCGGCTCCGCGAAAACGTTTCCCTGGGACCAAAAGAACTATTATTATCGATGGTAGCAATGCATCTCACCAAATTGTCGAGAATGGGAATAAGGGCTTGGTATGTGGGGAGATGGAAGTCCGCCTTGAGGAAGTGTGCCTTGCGACATTGGTTCGAGTGAGGCAGTGCAAAGAACGCTGCTGTGGGCCCCGGGTAATGACCTCACGGACGCAACGGCTCGCTGGATGGCCTCCGCGCGCAAGAATCGCGCGGTCTGTGAGATTGGACCAGTAGTTTTGCAGTGGGATTGATCGCCGAGGGTGTGATATCGAACGTTTTGTGACGGCTCGGCATCATTTTGGTGTTCCTCAGCGGTGTCTTTGACCGCCCGGTCATTAGACGCTTCACCAATGGACGGGCTCGCGTGAACCTGCGCTTGTCTTGCATGCGAGCGATCTTGTTGTATAAGGCTGGGGGCTGAGGGGCGAGTTGCACTGTTATTCCCAAGACCTCGAGTGACAGTAGCGGTCAGCTCGATTCCACCGAACCTAACAGTCCTGAGTCGCTTTGCGATTATCACGCGCCGACCATCAACTTCGACCAGCGCGTAATCTCTCAGGGACTCACGCCCGCGCTTCCTTGTCGCCATTGCTACGGCCAACGTCGAGCTACCTCCTCAAGCTTCACTGAACGTCACAAGCAGCAGGCAGAACAGCAACGCATAACACATCCCCTAGCTTATCGTTTCACGTCTCTCGAGGCTCTGAAACAGAGGAATACACAAGGGAGCTTTGCAGCGGGCTCTCCCATTGCGGGGCTAATAATAGCAGACTAGGCCGCTTCCAGCGTCGTCGCTCTTCGTGAGGTGGGCTGTGTTCTGCGACCGACGACAACACTGCGCCTCCTTCATACTCACCAGCCTCAGCAGAGAAGCCAGTAAACAGAGGACATTGCGTGTTCCTGGAGGGCATTGGACCATTCACAGCTCGCCCTTGATTCTTGGTGTTTACGAAGCTCTCCACGCTGGCCCAAGCGCGGCCTCCAGGGCTCACTCCTCCACATCCCACCTATTCTTGGGAACACGCGAATACCTACATCATGGATATCCAACAGCGAGGACGCTCTCCCTCAGTAGGCCAGCGCATTCATAAGGCGCACTCTCCCTCGCCCAGCCCACATGCGCCTTTCCAGCACCAGCATAACGTCGGCTTGGGCTTCGATTCTATTCAAGACCCATCCTCGTACGCAGTCACAAGCGCGGGGCTGAACAGCACCCAGTTCCTTACTACGACTCAAGGACAGCAGTTCCCTCAGCAGAACAGCTTTGCCGACCCAAGCTTCTTCCAGGCTACTCAGTCTATCTCGCAGCATAATACGCCGCAATTTGGCCCCCAAGGCAACAACAACAACATTTCGCCCGACCCACTTGATATTGCGAACTCTAACAACCCCGACTTCAACAACTTCTTCCAGGGCAACGACCTTGGCCAGAACCAATCGCTTCCGTCGTATCTTGGGAATACGCTTGACCCACACATGCTCGACGCTCAGTCGCAACACAGCCAATCCATCAATCCCTCAGATCTTATGCACCAAATGGCAGCCACACAACACAACGCGCCTACGCCGCCGCACCTTCTGCCCAGCATGAACAGCCACCAAACCCCAAGTCCACATGCGTCGCCAAACATCAACCAGGGTCCGCTCAGATCACCAGGGCACTCGCGACACACGTCGTTGGATCCCAGCGCAGCATATGGACAGATTACAGAATGGGGGCAGATGGCAGGCGGATTTGGCCAACACAGGTCTAGATCTAGGGGCAATAGCGATGCTGCGTCCTCGGTACATGCGTCCTCGGTACACAACTCCCCATACCTGCACCACCAGGATAGCCTGGATAACGATCAGCCGTCACCCCTCCTCCATGCGCAGAACGATCCTCAGCTGTTCCAGGACCCTGTCCCAGGATTTGACCGATTCAATCTGAACGGCAGTAATGCGCACATCAGCGCGGGTAACAGCCCGCATATCTCGCCTCGTTTGCTCCCGCAGAACCAACAAGTCCTTCCGCCATTCCAGCCTGACACTTTTGGCCTCAACCAGAACATGAACCCATACGCGCCTCCAGACATGAATGGCTACCCAGGTCAAGCCGAGCCGTTTCCCTCACTGAACCAGCCTGTGCCTGAGTTTGGTCAGGCCGACGCCATGTCACCGCCAGAAATCAACATTGACTTTGCACCGCCGTCGCGACAAGCGAGCTTTGAGCCGCCGAAGCCAGAGCATCAGGTAGACGCGTTGAGCCCACCAGACAGATGTAAGCAGTCCGATGAAGTCATGCAAGCATTCCTAACACTATACTAGCACGCAGCCGGAACAGAACTCGCGCCAGATCTGATCCCTTCAGTAGTGCCAGCTCGCGCGCATCCACGCCAGGCTCAGAAGTGCACCGTTCACTGTCTCCCAACGCAGCAAAGTCTCGTTCTCCTTCGCCCTCGAACAAATCCTCGCGCCGTTCGTCTACATCTAGCGTGCCGAACCGCGACTACATACTGGATCTTGCAGATCCATCGCGACCTGCGCCAGCCGATGGGTCGAACCCAAAGCGCACACAGAAGCACCCTGCAACCTTCCAGTGTACACTGTGTCCAAAGCGCTTTACGCGGGCGTACAACCTCCGTTCGCATCTGCGAACACATACAGACGAACGTCCGTTTGTTTGCAGTGTCTGTGGCAAAGCCTTTGCCCGCCAACATGACCGCAAGCGACACGAAGGCCTTCACTCGGGCGAGAAGAAGTTTGTATGCCGTGGTAACCTCAAGAACGGCAACAACTGGGGCTGCGGCAGGCGCTTTGCTCGTGCGGATGCCCTCGGACGCCACTTTCGATCTGAGGCAGGTCGCGTGTGCATCCGGCCCTTGCTCGAAGAGGAGGCGCGTGAAAAGGGCGAATGGGATGGCCAGAATCAGCAGCTGAACAATGGCAACGGCATGTTCGCGCCCATGCCAGCTCAAAACTTCAACGGCATGATGCCCGGTCAATCTGGCTTCGAACCGTTCCCTCAGGCGGGTGGCATGCAAGCTCCACAGCCCTTCCTGCCTGCCGCACTTCTAGCTCAGTACCCTGCACTTGCGGGCATCCAGTGGGACCAGCTCCCGGCTGGGCCACCCGATGAAGATGGCGACGCTAGCGGTCGCAGCAGCTTTGATGCGTCTAGCGGAGGCGAATACTTTGAGGAAGAGAGCGATTACCAGCAGGGGAGTCAGCAGCCCATGTACGCTGGCGGCAACAACAGCGGCTGGGTAAGCGACTCCTACGACGGGCGGTGATGTTGCTTGTCCGTCCTCTTCCTTTGCTCTGGCGGCCCTTGCTGCCTTTACGATTTTCGAATGCTTTCACGACTTCATTTCACGATTCGTTTGGATACCACTTTCATTGCTTCGCACCTCAGGGTCATTGATACCCCCCGGATTGGAGAACACGAGGGAGTTTTGCTTTCGAGACGATGGGCTTTGAGTCCTGTTTGTTGTGGTTTCTTTACCCTTTGGCGTTTTAGTGCCTGGTTTAGACGAGAGTAGATACCACACGAAATGCAGCTTTGAGCTTGAGCGTGATCTTCCCGGGGCGTTGGTTGCTGGGAGAGGTGTTTTCCGTTGCTTTCTGTGCCGCACGTATCTAGAAGCAAGCATGCTCAGACTGCTGCTGACTGGTTCGTTATTTGCGACCTCGGTGAGGCTTGTGCTCAGTCTGGATGCACAGACTAGGTTCGCAACAAACTGCTACTGTCTTTTTACGACCGTTCGCGTGACCCTTAGACCTTGCGCACCACATGTCCACAACGACGCTGCGACCTACTGCAAACCGTTCGCTACTGCATGCGGCCAACACTCGACGTCTGGCGATCTTATCGAAGCAAAAACATATTCTTTTTCCCCCTCAACACCGAAACTGACCCGACGGCCACCTACCTAAACAGACTACGATAGCACAAAAAAGACATGAAAAAAAAAAGGCAAAAAGATCAGATGGGCCTGACCGGGATTCGAACCCGGGGCCTGTCACATAACAGATACACTGTATCCAGGTAGGAAACCCCTGGGATGATTGTTAGACGGGGGAACAGAGAGGAGATGGCTGTTGGGCAGGCTTACGAAGCGACAATCATACCACTAGACCATCAGGCCGATTTTGCTGTTGGATGGCAAAATTCTGGAGTCTGTAGTACTAGTTCTTGTTTTTTGGCAGTACACAGGCCAGATGACTGTAAGCGGTGCTGTGGAGCATGTTGGTTTGCAACGATTGCAGCCGGGTTCGCTACGGAGGCAAGGCAGCTCATAGCGGGGCAGTCGTGTGTCTTAGTCAGGGCGGTGGGACGCATCTATTCATGGACTCCACAGCCTCACTGCCTCACTTTACCCTATTGGGAAGACTTTGCGAATGGAATCTCAAAGTCATGGTCGAGAGTGGCCGTCTGTGCTACAGAGGTTGGTCGATAGGACACCGAGTCGAAGCCGCTGACCCCTCCACAGCTCCAAGATGCGGACTACCAGGCGCAACACCACCACTACCAGATTATATCATGCCTACAGAAAAGGTAGACATGCATCACACGATCCCGATCTTGACGTCTTGGTAAATTACTATAGGCTGGTTCCCATCTCCTTATCGCCCGCTTCATTTGCCCAGTAGAGTGTCACCGAAAGCTTGTGCGCACTGGGTGGAGAGCCGATCATACAGGCACAAATACGTACTGTGCATGGTGACGGGAGGGAGCCGACATCGCTAAACCTATGGTGATCCCCCCTGCAACTGTGCGCTCAACAACTGCTACACCGACATTTTGGCGCCATTGTTTGCAAGTCAAGCAACACCGCGACAGACATGCTCTGGGTCGTCTGTCAGTGGCCATCTTCTTTTTGCTTCAATCGGGCGCTGTACGAGTGTTCAAGACGTGAGACGGTTCATTTGAGCACGCTGCGACCATGATCAAAAGTGCGGGGGAGACGTGCTGGGCATGCGAGAGTGGATCTCTTCCATTGGCTCGGGCCAGCCCTTGTGCCAGATTGAGCATAGTATCTGGCCCAAGCTTCCTCTCTGCAAGCTCCCATCCACTGAGCACCACGGAGTCCAACGCTGCATCCCCGATGTGGCCTGTCGTTATGAAGTGAACAATCCACGAGGGTGTCCTGAATCGCTGTACAGCTCACTGACCGCTCTCCGTAAAGATTCCAGAACGCTGGCCAAGGAGTCTAACGTGGTCGCAGCTGCCATGTGTGAGGCTGGAGGGCTTAGAAAAAGGACTGCTTCCCCTCACTGTGTCGCGAGCTCAGCTTGTCATTCCTGTCCTCTCAACACCTGTTCCTGTCTACCGGTGCATCTGATAGCGCTTCCCATTCTCCGGCGCCTTCCGAACCGCATACCTGCGTCACTGAAACCTTATCGTCTTATAAGCCACTACTAATCGCTCGTCTTGCTTCTTTCAAGTCCTACTACTTCTTCGCGCCCAGCTGCGTTCCGCTCACAACAGTGCCCACAAACCTCAACATTACACACACCTTCGGAATGGCAGCCTCAAAACCCAGCGTTCGCATCATCAGTGCCCTCGTCGGCCCCCGCCTTTTGGGTCCTCGTCTCACAGTTCGCCAGCTGTCAATGACAGGTTCGACTTCGTCGTCATCCCTTCTCACAACCGACAAGCCGTATGCTTCAAATCGTCCAGCTGGGCCTATCCGCCTTCACGGCGAGCAAACCATCCCAGTTCCCGAAGCCACCGAGACTGGCAACAAAGTCCGACGCTTCAACACATCGAGGAGTTTGAAGTCCGTCGGCGATTCCAGCACACTGGACTTTATGCACTTCCCGGACTTCAACCCGGAGACCCGAAGTGCGCCCTTGGGAATTAGAGTCCCCATCTTACCATGGGCCAATGTTGCTAGCCGGAGTGCTGAGAGCGAGGATTCCGTGAGTCTTACCCTAACCTTAATCTTCTGCTCATTGTGCAGAAGTACTAACGACGGAATTTCTAGATCCCCATGCAACCCACCATCTACACCGTCTCTGCTGACGGCACCCACATCCACTCTCCCTCCGCAATGTCTGAGATGACCGACTCAAATCAGTCTGCCTACCAGGGTATGGCTGAGGCTGTTGCCAGTAAATTCACCGCGACCCGCCAGGAGGGAGAAGGAATGGTGAAGCAGATCTGGAATGATCTCATGGAGGATCTCGCTGATCTTGCGAGTGGCTCAAAGCGTGGGCCCAATAAGGTCTAGGCGTGGTGTAAATGTCTTGCAACGGATCCTGTTGGCGAACGGCCGTCTTGACATGGGTAACATGGATTCCGGATCGCACCGGACTTCCGGTGGCTATCGTGTGAGTCTAGGCATGGGTACTAGGGGGATGATTTTCGATTTCTTGGGACTGAAATGGAAGGGTCTAGCGCGAAGTGCTCGGGCTTATGAGATCACGAAATACATTTTAATTGCTCTTTGGCTAGTCTTGCCCTCTCTTCCGCTGCAGTTGTTACCAGATATGCGTGAGTACAGTATGAAAGGAGTAGTCGTCCTTGGTCTCCAAAAGATCATTTCACCTGAGAGTATCGGATACAAAATAACAGTATCTGGACGACGTTGTAAGCCAAGGAGCCCAGAACCGATCAGTGATAGTAAGAGTGTACTAACCGTAATCTTTGAGTAATTCATAATCTTTGTTGAGCAACAGATCCCTCTTTATTTACTTCAAGCTTCGTGTGTACCATGTTATCTTGCCCCAGGAATCTGCCATGTCTTGAGCCCTGTTGAAAAGTTGGGTGTTACCACAGGACAAATGGTGTCCGAAGGATTAACCAGTAGATAAGCAAGTATATTGCGCTATGGAAGTTCAGCGGTATGTGTACAGCTGATGATTGCAGCAGGTACGCTGGTTCTCATCAAGCTACCTAAGAGAATTGAGAGGCCAAAGAGAAGTTGGTAGCCCTGAGGTCGCCAAACATGTAAAGTCCTCCACTAACGGACATATTAAGAGAGCAGATCGTGCAGACGACGAAGCCCTTGAACCCAAAAAGGATATCTAAACCAATCACCCCCTCTCGACAAAGTCTATGGAGGGTAAAACGATGCGACTTGGTAGACGCTAGGAATGGAAGACGGCTTGGGAAAGTTAGAATCTGGTTCGGTGGAAAGCCATAATACCTACTTAGGTAGTGTCCTCGTTCTGTTTTACTTCGATTAGCAGTTAGCCCGTGCCCAGAGATTCTATACTTTGATAACAGCTAAAATACCTCGATACGCACTTGGATCGGATGTTGCAAAGCACTTGGGTTCGCAATTTGGTCTCGTTCCATTTACCACCAAAAGCCTCGAGCGTCACCCTCTTAGTAGTATCGCTAGCTTTTCACTTTGTTGGATCCTTCGAATGTGCTTGCAAGATGAGTTACAGCGATTCTTCTAATATTATCCTGACCAAAGTTCTGGACCGACCGATCGTATTGCTTGTTGGTGAACTCCGCCACTCTTAGCACCGCCACATCTGACTCTATAATTATCATTGGCTGAGCGGGTGACGCGAGCATTTACGTGTCAAGTCTGCGGCGCACCACGTCCGTCGATGCTGGACAGTCGAAGCAAGTCTTTACGACCGGTCCGACCCATTGAATGTGGGATCGGCATGAGTGACGTTGTGGGGTGGATGGCGGTTTAGCTTGGCTAATACCTGCGTCCCGTAAGACCTTATAAGTAGAGATGCAACTAGTGTCGATGCAGGTATCGTAACATCATACTCTTATCATGCTTGTTTTTCATGGGCCTCTTCTCTCCAGTATTGACCACGAGTTCGAGTGGAAATCAAATGTGCAACCAATATTGCAATATGTTCGAACAGACCTGGAAAATGCGAAATATGACTACGGTTTCGTATTCTGGCTGGCAGCAAAGGAAGGACTATCTAGACGATCGGTGGGCCAACACAATGGAAAAGGCGCTTTTGAACAATATAACGAGGACCCTATCGTTGTCGTCTGGGGTCCATCTGAAGACAGCTACATGGTATACAAAAACCTGGCAACCCCAGATATGCGACACATTTCCTTCGGTCGGTTATTTAGAGCGCGATCGTCGGATAAGAATCGTATTTTCGACAAGCAAAGAGGAGGTGTGCTACTCCAAATGCATGTTTCTGCGAGCTCAATAGGGATTCAAGTCGAGCCTGGGCTGGAACGACCGAAGCCTACATTGTATCGACGAGGGTCTGACGCTACGCTTTTTTCGACACATGCCACACAGAAAATCGAAGCCAAGAGGTACTCGGTCCCGGATACAGCCTTGAGAGTATTGGATGAGTGTTCCCAGACGACTAGCTCTCCTCAATCTGGTTTCGGAGCACCCGGTGCCATTGAGCAGAATACATGTAGCCTACCTCGACATGCATCTCCAAGTATTATAGCATCATCCGCGGCCCGCGACTCCATTCCATGGGATGTATGGCAGCCACTCGATTGTGTGTTGAAGCGCATCAGTGCGGCATTTGAGCGGAGGACCATGACCAAGCGAATTGTCGTTAGGCGGCCGATGGCCCAATTTTGGGCAAACACAAAAGGGGTGGTGGCTGTGGCTATAGCTTCAGTATAGAGGATGAGATTACTGCTCAACGATAAAATATCTTGTTCACGTGCCTGACTGTCGATGGGTGTCAATCCAGGTTATAGCATTGCACACGCGTTCCATTGCGACTGCATGCCTATCGGTTTCCTCCAGATCCTTTTTATAAGCTTGTAGCGATTGGTAGGACGTTAAAAACGTAGTGCTGCTTAGGGCTAGACTTGTGCGTATGAATATCCAAAGTGACTCTTGTGTACAGTCGAGACTGATCGCGTACTTGATGACATCTCCCACTAGCTCTTGCTGTAACGACGCAGCTGTGATAGGCATCAAATACAGCATGAAAGACCAACCAGAAATATCGCTTGGGTGTCTGCAACACCAGTCCTTAACACGACGAGCGACATCATCGGCCAATCCATGGTTCTCGATCTTGTGTACAAGCCTACGAGCATACTGCCAAGCGTGGTAATTCTTAGGATGCTGCTCTCCAGACTTGCAAACAGCAGCGAGTTCACTGTGCCAAAATTCTGCTATGCGGTCTTGCGGCACATCGTTCAGTTCGATGAGTCTCAAAGATTCCACGATATTCGAGCGGTGATACCATAACGTAGGCGACTTAGACTGACGATGAAGTGGAGATGTGAGGATACTGTTTAGAAAGCAAAGCTCTTGACGTAGTGCTCTGTGATATGGGGTCCCAACATGAGGGCCGTGCTCATTTCTTAGCAGCGACAATGTGCGCTTCCGGTAATTTGCTGCAGTAAGATGCTCAGGATCGAACAGAAGTATGATCTTTGTCGCTTGCAATGCCCATGAACTAGCCAGTACGTCCTGAGTCCCCTGGTTCTTCATGAAGAACAGGTGCCGAGCTTCCACATAAGCCAAGGCGAGTACCTTTTTCGGGATTCCTAGGCTCGATCCGTCTTGCATGGTAATACCATCCGGCGGCTGTATAGCAGGAGGCAGAATCTCAATCTCAATAACTTCATCCGTGTGCTCCTGGAAGTAGTTGCTCAAAGACTTGTAAGCCAGCTTCTGAAACTCGTTACTCTGACCATCTTTGATTGCCATGGCGGACAACCCGGGCGCTTTGATGGTACGGGTACAGAGTGAAGGCTAGTAGACGTGTGTGAAGGAGCAACCGTGTAGCGAATAGATAGAACCCTTCGCGCACGGCCCCCGCCTTAGCTTGCTGCAGCTGCCAAATTGCCTTATGACATAGCCCAAGAACGCTTCCACCGTCTGAAAACACGATGCAATGAGAACACGCTGCATCGCGACACTGGTCCAACGTCCCCGAACATGCCATCCCTTCTACTGGTAGTCTTCACCCTGCAGCTACTGCTCCACATCATCAACACGGTGGGCGCAACCACGGTCAATGAACTGGTAAGCCCCGCATCAAGTTGCAGATGCGCAAGGACGTCGGATTGACACATTGCAGTTATGGATCCTCTACAATAAGCTACCGACGCCTACCTCTGGATCTGCGCAGAGATGCCAGGTTCTCAAGGCAGACATTGTTCGTTTGAAGCGCGAGCTGGGCAACACGTCGCCTCAGGACAATTTCTCAAAATGGGCGAAACTGGACAGGCAACACAACAAGGCTATGGCTGAGTTCCAAAAGCTGGGTGTGTATCTCTTCTGACAGATGCTTTGGGCATCTTTACCAGCTATAATCGCTAACGCCTTTTTGTCTAGATGGCTCCTTGCGCTCACATCAGTCCACCTTTACATCCGCCGTCTCGACCCTCCGCTGGCTCGGCACCCAAGGCCTTCGCTTCGTCCTCCAGTTCTGGTTCTCCAAGTCGCCCATGTTCTGGATTCCCGCTGGTTGGGTGCCATACTATGTTGAGTGGATACTGAGTTTCCCGCGCGCACCACTTGGAAGCGTGAGCATAAACATTTGGGGTATTGCATGTGCCAGTATGATAGCACTGGCAGCAGAGGCAGTAGCGGCGCTTTGGGTACTTGTCATGAACAAACCGACCCCTGTGGCTGCAGAGAAGCAACGCGAGAAGCAGGAGGCCATGGCATTTAGTGCAAACCAGAAACCTACAGAGAAGAAAGAATTGTGAGGTAATCGCGTGGGTACGTCCTTTGCTTCAGGACACATATGTACAACATCAATCATCAATCAAATACGCATTCGCACTGATTCGCGTCACGCACCGGTTGATGTGGAACGGGTATGTCTCCCAACAAAAGACGCAAAGTCGTCGTGGCTTTCGCTCAGACACTGCAACACGAGTGGGATGATCTTGGCAGATCCTTTGGCTTCTTCTAGGCTACAAATTGAACTCGTGATCGTGGAGAGTAGCGAATCACCGAGTCTTCGAAAGAGCCATGTTCTAATCTATACTCCTTCCCCATAGACGGAAAAGCGACGCGATGCACGGTAGCCGACATAAAGCTACGTGTTGTGATAACATGCGCGTGGTTTTGCTGAGAGCGAAGGGTGTTGTTTGGTGTGGAATGCTCACATTAAGAGTTCGCGAGGAAGAAAAGTGAGAATTCTGCGCTAAGACAGCGCGGGCCGACGGTGCACCGAAGCGCGCTTACCGTGTTCAGACCGCTACAATCACCTAATCTGAGTTATTCACTTTCCTTCGTTGTGGGGGTTTTGCAACATGATTACTGCTTGAGTGTGACAATACATGCCATAGATGGGAATAGTCATAGTTGTGTACTCATGAATACCTTTGTATGATCAAAGACCAGGTCGTCCACTCCGCTTACTAGCCTCATTAATACCTAGGAAATGTCAATCGATCGAAGAACGTGATGAACTTGATATGCAAGGACACTTCGTGCCTGTAAACTAGACATGGCTGCCTCTACGCCTCTATGCTTGAAAAACTTGGCTTATCCAGGTGATCAGGTCACGTGTGGTAGATTCCAGGGTACCCGTGTACCGAGGCAAAGGCAACAGGCACGAGAGAAGTGACAACCATTGAAGTATCGTTGTTTACATTTACTGTTGACTCTTGGTCGCATAACTCTAGCGATCTACACTGAAACGGCATTGACGGCTCAGTGGCGTGAGTGAGGGGTGGCTGGTCCAAAGGATACCTCGAAGAGAAAAACTGCGCATGCCGTTGATCGTGCCTTACGTGAACATGATCTACTCTTTTTAGACGTTGATCATCGTTTAATAGCCTGTATTCTGGTTTAGCTCCTTCGGCTATTGGAGGGTCGCTTTTAATGCAACGACACGGGGCGAAGATCGGTGCCACCTCGTGTTGTGCCGCGGGCTACATGCGTACCTCGTTGGACAGTCTGGCGAAGGTGAAGTGCAACAGTCTTCGGCTTATCATCTTCGCTTTTCGAAACCCATTGACAAGGTCAAGCGAGAGTGATCGAAGCCCAATGATGAGGCTCTACAGCGTCTATGTGGGTCTGTGCACATGACTTCCCCATATCCGTACGAACGGTTCAGCACTCGCCGGTTCCAGGCCGATTAGAGGCCGGCTGAGTTCCTGATCTGTGGAAGGGACTTCCCCGCAATGTGGAATGAAGTTGTTAGGTGCAGTGATCGCTCGAAGGCTGCGCACCTTCTCCTGACAGGGTTTACTGTGTGCGTACAAGGCGTCTGGGGAAGCAGGTCACGGCTGGTTCCTCGAGTCAACGTGCATACTGGCGTTTCCTTAACTTTGCTAGAATGATGCTCTAGTCGCAAGCTTGTGTGAAACAGCTTCGTTCGACATGACGGTGGCCGCTGTTGCTTGTTCCACCTATTGCGCCAAAACACACTCATGCCGCAACATCCACTACTCTTCATACAAGAAAGACCAGCGAGATTTCAGGACTTGAGCGTACAAACATCAGTCAGGCCATGGGGCGATCGCCAAGGCTAAACGGCGCCGCCCAGTCAGCAGCGACAGAGCCGGCATTTCGGTGAGATTCGACCGGGACAGGCGCTGTGACGAAATGGCGTTTCTCTCCCCACAAAGTGGACAGATGCTCCTCCCAATGACGATGCAAGGATTCAAACGCCGGCCCAAGGCCGTCTAATACGTTTACAAGTCGCGCATTTAGCGATGCACTCTCCACATCGCTCGCCGCAGCTCAACTGCCCGCCTTTCCTGGGGTCGGTAGTCCCTTCACCGCATCAACCCGCGTGGTCTTGCGCACTGTTCGACTCAACGCAGCCGTCTCCTTCGCGACCACCCATCTGCACATCGTCTCTCGCTTCCTTTCCAGACTATACACGTCGCCTGTACATTGAGACTCGACGAGGCTGGCGCCAGATAATGCCGTGGCCTGAACATCAGATCCCGAGACGACCGCGACCGCGATAGCCAAAGAACACTTTTCCGTACCGACTGGTCGCTTCCCTCTATGGCATCGGCATACATATTATAGCGCGGCGCACGAAATGGCGGATTATGACTTCAGAAATGGCGATTTTCCTACGAGAGGGCCCGTCGTGCTGGGAGTTTCGGCTGCCACGCTTGCGATATGCTCCGTCTTCGTTGGCTTCCGTCTAATTTCCAGATTTCTCGTCGTCAGAAAACCAGGATGGGACGACTACACAATGATCCTTGCATGGGTTCTCGCATTTGGCGCATCTTTCTCTATATGCTATGGCACGACGAAAGGTTTGGGACGAAAGCAGGAGAACATACCCCCACAATGGCGGGAGCCCATGAAGCAATCGTCATTCGTCTTCTCGGTCCTCTATGTACGTACATCATGCTCTATACACAAGTCGCCCTCACTAAGACCCCATAGAACCCAGCTTTGATGGCCACCAAAACCTCAATTCTCCTCTTCTACCTCACGCTGTCCAGGACGCATAAAGTTTTTCGTTGGGCCACCATCACGACTCTTGTCGTTGTCAATGTTGGTGGATTGGCTTTGACTATTCTAAACCTGCTTCAATGTCGCCCTATTGGTGCTGCTTGGGATTCTCCAGTTCCCGATACAGCTCACTGCACTAACATAGTCACGATATATCTTTCCTCAGCACCGCTCAACATCATCACCGACATAGCCATTCTATTTCTACCCATGCCCATACTCACTAGTATGCGGTTGCCGAAAAAGCAGAAGATAATACTGGTCATCACGTTCGGTTTCGGTATCTTTGTCGCAGTCGTCGATGTCATCCGTATCGCATACCTGCAAAACGCTCAACGCGATACACTCGAAGCCGCTCAACGTCAGTCTTCTGAAACTGGCAACGAACAGAGAAACACTGGCGATTTTGCCTGGTTTTCATCTTTATCCTTCATGTGGAGCACTGTGGAGATCAACCTGGGCATCATGTGTGGATGTGTTCCTGCTCTGAAGCCGCTCGTCAGAAGATTCCTCCCTAGTTGGATTATCGATCATACCATGCGCGACAACACGACACATACAAGCGATGAGGCCGTACTTCATCCCGACATTCTTGACTCTCGACGGCGGTCAGATCCGCTGACACCTCCCGCCTCTCCGCTCAGCAAACCTCCTCTTGCTCGCAGAAGCGGCGGTGACGAGCCTATGGGCATGATGGATTTTTTGACTACGCCTGACATGACTGAGCTACCTCAACTGAGGCCATCAAACACCAATGTTACCTACGCAACGACCGCACGCACTCAGCGCCAACCAACTTTCTTCGACTTCGTCAACACTGGACAGAAAAAGAATATTACCTTACGGAGCAACCGCGAGAGCGTATACCCTGTGATAATGGTGACCATACTGTTCTTCATCTGGGGTTTCGCCTATGGCTTCTTGGACGTTCTTAATTCCCGCTTTCAAGAAGTAGCCCGCACAAGCGAATGGGAGACGGTCGGTCAACATAGCGCCTACTATGTTGGCTATATTGTGGGACCTTTAACTTTCGGACGGATCGTCTTCAAGACTTGGGGGTTCAAAGCATGCTACATGGTCGGTCTCTCGGTCTATGCTTGTGGAACACTCGTCTTCTGGCCTTCCGCTGTACTCAACTCTTTTCCAGCGTTCCTTATCTCAAATTTCATCACCGGTGCAGGGCTGTCAACCTTGGAACTCGGCGCAAACCCATTCATAGCCCTCTGCGGGCCACCTGAGTATGCTGAAGTGCGACTCAATCTATCACAAGCTGTTCAGGCTGTTGGCACAATCGCCTCCCCACTTTTGGCGAAGAAAGTACTCTTCCCTGCCAACGCTGCGAGCCTGATCGACGTGCAGTGGACATACCTCGGCATATCCTTTTTCAACATCGTCCTTGCGATCGTCTACTTCTACGTACCACTTCCCGAAGCTAACGATGAAGAATTGGAACTTGCCAGTCAACGTACTGTACCCTTTGCCCGCGAGGCGACCATCAATATTGGATCCAAGCCAGTAAAAATTCTCTGGATTGGTCTGGGTATGGCGGTCTTTTCACAGTTCTGCTATGTCGGCGGTCAAGAGTCCACTTCCACCTCGTACAAGGAGTACATCAATCGCGTCTCGCCTTCAGTGGATTACGTATCACAGCAAGCCTATGGACACACAGCGTTTGCAGTCTCTCGATTCCTGGCAGCTTTCATCGACATTTGGGTGAAACCGCGCTTCAGTCTCTTGGTCTTCTTTCTGGGCGCGATTGCCTCCGCTGCTGCGGCCATGCATGCTTCGGGCAGTGCTGGTGCAGCAGTCATTGTCATTGTCATGTTCTTCGAAGGCCCGCTATTCCCTCAGATTTTTGCACAGGGTATACGGGGTATGGGCAAGCATACGAAAGATGCTTCCGTACTTCTGACGGCAGCTATTGGTGGAGGAGCCGTCATCCCTCCAATTATGTACGCCGCACTCAAGATCAACAATGCACAATACGCTTTCTGCGTCATCACGGCAGCCTATGCTGGTGGTGCATTGTATCCTATCTACCTCAACTTACTACCGGCATCCCGGAATCTCTCCGACCCTGTGCGCGACGAAAAGACGAGGAAAGAATCGGAGGCTGGTGAGAAGCGACGGGGCTCCACAGGCGAGAAACTGAGGACATGGAGTAAAGTCAAGAAGAGGCTAAGTTTAAACAAGGAAGATGAGAGACTGCCCTCTGTTGAACACAGAGAAAGGCGCAGTTGGCCCGAGGGATTGGCGCCGCGGAGTGACAGCTTGGCCATCGAACCTGTGCGGACTCGTACACCGAGCTCATCAGGTTCGATGAGCAGCAGTTGACAAGCTTGTACCTCGGTGCGTTGTTTGACGTGTCTACGCCGAAAGAACTGGTTTTTATATCGCATATGGCGTAACAGGGAGATACCACGGGATTGTTTGTATTTGGGGCCCGACCTAGCATAGATGGTTCATTCACATCTTACGTATGGCAACTTCGTAGCCAAATACAATCATTGCTAGTACACCATTGTCACGACCAATATCGTAAGATTGTGTTCCTTTTTGTGAGGATGTCTATATAGCTAATGTTCCCTTATTTTCTTTTTCGAAACCACAGAATCTGTCAGTAATTCGTCTGTTCTGCGTCTTCATAATGCCACAAGACGGAATGATGCAACTCTAGATATAATGTATGTTTTCATAAACCATGATCATCTGCGGCATCATAAAGTATGGTCATCGTGGAGCAAAAGATTAACTCGGCGCAACGAGCTGACTGGTAACATGAACACGGAAGAATTGCGGAAATGATCGAGCTTCCCTAGATGTACACCAAAGGCGACATAGAATGTGTCACGGACGGTACAGACCATCGCTCTAGAGTAGCTCTTGTCAGCAAACTTCTCATCTACGGATAGCCATTGCACAAAGCCTACCCAACGATAGTTGTCCTGTGCACAGGGTTCTGCAACGGTGATGCCGATTTCATCCATATTTCATCTTTCGGTTGGTGCTTGACATAATGGTATTGCCATGAACGCATCCTATGCCTCTCTTATGATGAGAAGGTACAAACAAAGCTGTCCCATGGTAAATCCAGGTTTAGAGCCTTTTCTCTATAGACGTTGGTCGAACCATACTGGCAGCCATGGCTCATTTTTCTGATGCTCCTTGTAATATCGTCGTCAAGGTTTACCTATCTTCTTCTGCCCTCCTGGAATTTGTTGACGTGGACCCGCAGAATCATCGCATTGACAAGCGCTTTATCAGACGCATGTATTTTGAGTACGTCCTGCTTCTGATGCTCGTGTTTGTTTTTGTCGTGGGTAGCTTTGTCAGGATGGTTTTCTCTTGACAGCCTATGGGAAGCATCCTCAGTGGTATCGTGGGCGGCGTCGGGGCTAACATCCAAGATCCGATATTGATCCGCCAACCCTGTCGCGGAAGCAGACATTGCGTAATTCCGTTCAGGTAGCTTGGTCGTACAAAAGAGTATCGAGATATTAGGGATGTGGTCGTAGAAAAATCAAGGCAAGTCAATAACAAGCGCAATGAACAGCGTATACTAGTGCGACATGTTGCGGACACTCATCGTCACCCACTCATCTCAAATTCGCCCACGGAAGCTCCATCTCTACTGTCTTTATCTCTATTCAGCAGTGACTAACCGAGTTGGCCACTACTCTCTAGGGTCCATACTGCGATGATACAAAAAAGGGAGACAAAGGTGATGGGTATGAAAACGACGTGAAAGTTGAATACAAGCTGGGCCTACACAAAATCGCTTACAATCGCTATCATGATACAAGAAGAACACAAACTATCTCGACCGGTAAACGCCTGACCCATGCTTATGTACCTCGGAACCCATGCTTCCAACTAGCGATCAATTACCCAATTAGACGACTTCAACCGTCGAAGGAGGTCATAGGACCAATGCGGCAGCAATCGCAACCACGAAGCCAAAGTAAGTAGCACTAGGTCGCAGTAACACATTGGCGACAGATGTAGTACCGCAGCACTCACGGTCATACGTAACGTTGTTTGCACGGGCAGCAACTTCGAAGACGGAACCGTTGATAGGCCCTTGGTTATAGAAGTCGACGAGGAGGAAGTTCGGTGGGCGGTCCCAGTTAGCTGCGAGAGACGTGTTAGCAAGTTGCAAGAGGGGAAACTGAGCTAGAAGTGTGGGAATACGCACTAGTGCAAGTGTTGGTCATAGCACCCAGGCTGCCCTCTCCTTCCAGACCGTTGGTCTGGTTGATCTGGGCTACATTAGGTACCAGAAGGTTCAATCCAGCAAATGAAATCTCGGCATTCAAGTTGTGGTTTGCCATGTACATGATATCTCTCATCTTCTCCTCAGCCATCCCTTCGGGCCTGCCAAGCGTACATGGAAAATCGGGGTCGGTGGGAGAGAAGGGTGTTTCCCACATATTGTAAAACTCCCATAGCATGTATGGAACCGCATCAGTATCGAAGTTGTAGTCGATGAATGTAATGACACGGTTGTTGTGAAGGATAAGTTCGCCGAGCGTTGGCCAGTCATCGAGTTCCATGGCGGTCTTTGGTGGTTGGTAGATGTATTCGATCAGGCCAGACTTCTCGATCGGATCAGCGAAGTTGGACGATGTGACGAGTGGCTTGCCATCGTCGGTTGTTTCGTCCCAGTTGGAGTTGCCGAAGAGAATCGTGATGACGTCGAAGGGGTGTGCTTCTACCCATGCGGTGACTTCACGGAGGTAGTCTTCCACAGTACCAGCGTTGAGCAGGTCGCAAGACGAATGGCAATAGTAGAGCGTGCCATTGACGTAGTGGGCTGAGCCCTGTAGCATGCGGATACCGTCGTTCAATTGTTGTGTCACGCCATACTCTTGATTGCGCGCAATGTTATTCTGTCGCGTGTAGGGCGAATTGTGCGCAGCTACTTCGGTGATATTGGAGTACTTGCGGTTGCAAAACTCCAGATAGTTATTACACGGCTGTGTGTTTGATGGCAGCGCCGGAGCTGTCCCAGTGCCAGTCGGTGTCAATGTCCTGTTCCCTCCTCCGATGTTTGTAACGGGGTCTTGAGTGCTTGTAAGTGAGGCCGTGCCATTGGCCGAGAAAGTGCTACCAGACGGTCCAGAAGACGCAGGCGAGGTTATGGTCGCAAATGTGCTGCCCTCGAAATCCGAAGGAACGGTTGGGTTGGGAGCCGCATCATCGCCCGTCAGACTCCGCTGCGATCCAGATAAGGTGATGACTGATGGAGTCACCGAGGCCGAGCTACTCTGGGCTGCAGTGAGGCCCGCAAGCCACACCACGGAAAGTATCGCCCCCTTCATGATCGCCACAGGGGTGATTGTTGTTTAAATTCGCGACCAGATTATAGGCTCACAGGCGGGAACAGATACCGGCTGTGTCAATCCTTCTCGAGCGATAGCGAGAGCTGTACAGACGTCCAGGTGTATGCAGTGGAAGTTCCAGCGGGTCTGGTTGCTATGCAGTGCCGTTCGATCCGAGTACGGGGTAAATGAGTACGCTGGGTACAACGTCGTACAATGGGCACAAACGGCGTCGAGAGCGAGAGGATGCGGAGAAATACGCAGTTAAAGAAACTATACCTGCTGCAAAGAAGCTGCTGCTGTTGAGAAATTCCAGACGACGATTGTTTTCCAAGCCCCCCCGAACGGACCACCCGGGACTCCCCAGTTAGGCAATATGCTATGACGTAAAGCTCTGTTTTAAGGTTGCGAGCCACGCGGGTCTTGTCTCTCATCCAACGATCTGCAACAGCCGCGCCACCATTTTAGCGCGACACGTCATGTGCACGAGTCTGGAACGACGAGGCTGCGATGGCTACAAGAATGGCATGCACGTCAACAACGTAGCAGTATCCATATTGATGCACATGCATGCAGGGTATACATCCATGATTCTGAATGGTTTGGTTCACTTGGATAGTGGGAAAGATTAAGTTAGTGGTTGCTGCACTCATGTCAGTTGTGTGCTGCTAAGGGCTTGTGAGACATAAAGATGGGCAAGTATGCCGCCTGAATAAAACTATATATACACGTACGTAAAATGCAACTTCCCAGATACTACAGCTCAGGCCGTAGGCTTGAAGACCTACGCACTAGACGGCCCACTACTAAAGAACTCCTCGAATTTACTCTTGCCCTTCAGCTGCTCAATCTCTCTCTGTAGCACATCAATTCGGTAATTCTTAAACGCCTTCTCAATCCTCTCCCTACTCGCCGGGTCCTTGGTAACCGTTCTCGCTGCGCTGGCTGTACCCGTCAACAGACCCAGTTCACCACCAAGGAAGAGGCCGCCAACGGAAAAGAGGAAGTAGGTCGCAGCATCGCCCCAGCGTGAAGGCCCAGATATTTTCGCTGTGATGTCTGGGATAGGCTCAGTACGACCGTCTGCGAAGCGCACTTCTACCGGCTTCTCCATGGCTCGGAAAGCTCTGAAGTATGCAAGGCGCATAGCTCGTAGTCGAAATGCCGTATAGAGTCCTAGACCTAGCCCGACTGCTGATGCGAAACCAGTGTGCGTCGAAACCTTGCCGCCCGCTTTTTGAAGTATATCACGATCTTGTTGGTTGAGGCTGTTCTCGGTTAGACATTGCTGTCCTAGGCGGCAGTATGAAGCTGCTTACTCGTGTTGCAGATGTTCCTCTGCAAGCTGGCGGAGATCCTTCGACCTGCGGTCACGGAATGCTGCTAGTGATTCGGCCATTATGTTTATTCAAATAAATGAAGAAGTTGGAAATTCGGACCAGCAAAGTAAGACAAGTGCAAAATGGCTGCGGAGTACTAAATTATCAGAGCTTTAACCAAGTTTTGCAGTATTGTGGGCGGTTCATGATGCTTCTAGTCGCAACCATGACATCATGCGGAGGCAGCGGAATCTAACCAGAAAGGAGTAATGGACACACGAGCACGTCGTAATGGAATCAGATTCACGCGGGTATATAATCATACGCACGAAGATTCGAATGCACACAGAGATGGCATCATCTGCGCGTGTAGAAAGAGCCAAACGCAACAGAGAAATAATCATGTGCACCCAGAGAGGTGAATTAGACAGGTCGAGAACCTGGTTCACTACAGTTCAGGATTCGAAAGCGATGCTATGCTACGGTGTAACTGAAAAAGAGATTCGCTGGGCGCGTCATGCTCTTACCAAACGCCATACTCGAAAGAGCCCACAAACGCCGTGAGCCGCATGTCGGCTCGCTCAAGGATATCACTACATATATCTTCAGATTTAGAAACGAGATGTCGCTTTATAGCTTTGCCTTGGCCTCAGCTTCTGCGGCGCTCGCTTCCTGATTCCGGGTAACGTTGCCAGTGCCTGTACCCTCTCCAAAGAAGATGACTTCAACTGTCAAATCATCTCTGTATCGTCGAGAAAAGGGACTTGGAAGAGTGAGCAGTGCACTCAGCTGATCTTGGTCCTTTCCGCCAAGTGCGTTTCGAACAAGATGAGTTGCTGCATTCTTGTCTTCGACTACGAAACGCTCGTTCAGGCTGGTCTTGGTACCCCACTGCTGCTGGCGGATTGGTGCACGCTGCCCCTCCCCTTTCTCACCTGGCTTTTGCTCGACAGGCAGTTGCTTTTGTGTTGACCACCAACTTTTGAGCCAGGACTGAGCCTGTGAACCTTGACTGCTCGGGTTGCCCTGAGCATCGAGCCATTGCCCAACTAGGCCAACGACCTCTTCGTTGGTAAGCATTTCCCACAAACCGTCAGTAGCCATGACCACAAAGTCGCCTTTTTCAGGCTCTACTTTGGTTGTGGTAATAACAGGCTCAGCAGTGACATATGGGGGAGTTTTGAGTAGCGTTGACGGTGACCGTGAAAAGTAGGACTTCTTGAGCTCTGCATTCGTCTCGAGCGACCATTTGTAGGAGGCGTCGCCAAAAGCACGGGATGGCTCCAGGCCACCTAGGATACGACCGTTACGTACCACATTGGGCTCACCTGGGTGTTCTCGGCGTAATCGCTCTGCCTCGCTTGTGGTGCCGCCAGTTTGGTCTTCAGACAGAGGTGTCACTGTCCACTTGCCATTTGGGCCTCGTCGACCTAGGATAGCGCGCGAGTCACCCGTGCAGGCAACTCGCAGCAGTTTTGACTGGCTATCGTAGAAGGATAAAAGTGCACAAGAACCGGACAAGGCGGGGGCAAGCAGCTCGGCAGCAGCGATCTTTGACTGAGCCTTCCGAACCTTTTTGACAGATTCGTGTACGATCTCGTTATCTAGCTTGATGAAACCCGTCTTGATGGCTTTGTCGATAGCATCGGAGCTCGGAAAATGGAGTGCAGGGTCCTCAACGGCGGACTTGTAGGTCGTGTTGAGCTCGCGTGCGACATAGGAAATGAGCGTTTGACGGAGTTTGGCCGAAGTAACCCAGCCACTGTGGACATTAGCATTGAAATGACGCGTAACCTTGATATAGGGCAAGCCTACCTGTGTCCGTCGAAAACACCCCAGAACATCCAGTCGCTGGCGGGAGCGCCATTGTCGGTAGCTGCCAGATTTGATGGTACCTCGATAATCTTCTCGGCATGGTCATCTTCGATCGGAGAGTTGCTGGGGATCTGCACCACGTCGTATCGCACAACTCCCTGTCCCCTCCCTACAAGCCATGACTCCTCGTTTTTCCTCAACTTGGCAGTAGCTTGGTCGGGGTCCAGCATCTCCAGCACCTTTCTACCGTAGTCATCCGTCTCTTTTGAGATTGGACCAGTGCCGGTGATTGTTCCCGTATAAAGTTCACCGGGGCCGACGACCAGAGCCTTTCGTGTAGGCTCGCTACTCGCGGCGTTGGTCAGGTTCCTCGCTTGATCGGCGGGCGAATGCGAATGTCCTGTCGAGGATTTGTCGCTGTAAGCATAGAAGGCACCCGAGGCGAAGGCGGCAGCCACTAACGCACCAGTGAGGGCGCGTAACTGCATGGACGAGGTAAGGACGTTGGGGGAGGTGCGCTGGCGGTAGTGATGGTGATGATGAGCCCGGAAGCCTAGGCCATTGCTCGGCGCGAAGACGCCGACACGACTGCGGGCAAGCTTGCGCAGGCACGGGCGGCGCGCAGAGCGAAGCACTTGAAAGGCAGCCCGCATCTGGCAGGTGGAGTGAAGGATCGTTGAAGTGAGGTAGGCCAGCACGATGGACTACAGCAGTGAAATCATGGTGCAGTTCGGGAGAACGCTACATCCAAGCGCCTAAGCGGGGCCGATTATCCCCTGTTCGTACAAAGCCGATTGCGCCTGCGGCTAACATTCCAAACCACCACTACGACGTCATCACGTTACCGCAACCACATAATTTTCGAGGCAACAGAATGTCTTCGCGAGCGTTGCGCCGGGCGCAGCGAGAACTTGAAGAGAAGCAGATACAGGAAAAACTTGCTCAAGATGACCAAGACGAGGACGAGTCGGAGCCTGACGTGGCGCCCAAGACAACGGCGAAACCCAGCTTGTTCGCAATGCTAGGCGATGGTGGTGAAGAAGATGAAGAAGAAGATGAGGAGGAACAAGAAGACGCAGACCAGGACGTCAAACCCAAGGTTGGAGATTCCGATGGACACGCCGAGGCCGAGTCTATGCCTGCATCAAAGCCCTCAAAGAAGAGCAAGAGGAAAAAAAAGAAGGCAAAAGCCAAAGCCAAGGCTACAGATGCCGACAAGACTGCTGCTTCAGCCAAGAAGTCAGATCTCGATGAGATCGATGAGGCATTGCTTGCTCTTAATATGGCCATGAACGGTCGGACGGAGACTGGGTCCGATCAGCAGGACACTGTTGGTGAAGAGAAAAAACAGCTCTTTTCCGTGCTCAGTGTGGACACACAGCATCTTCATGCCGCCAATGAGATGAAGAGGCTCTTTGGTCGAGCAGCGGTGCAAAGTGCTGAAGATGAGGCGCGGCCTCGACAACGTGGTCAGCAAGGTGGCATCGCCGCTGCAATCGCAGGGCGTAACGCCCCTGGCAATCGTAACCTTGCATCTCTGGGACTTCGACGAAACATTTTTATCCAAGGCAAAGAGGAGTGGCCACGGGCTACCTCTGGTGGTCTCGGCATGGAGATTGTTGAGAAGCGACCAGATGGCACAGTCGAGTACAGATTTGTTCACAACAAAACGTATCAGGATGTCCAGCGACAGTTCCAGATTTGCGTTGCAAGCATGGACTCTGAGCGTATGATCCAACTCCTGCATCACAATCGTAAGTCCCCTTGTGTTTTATACAAGTCAAAACACTAAATCCGTCCTTAGCCTTCCACATTTCCACTCTGCTCCAGGTATCCGAAATCGCAAAGCAACAAAGAGAGGCTGCTGCTGCGTCCGACATGTTAGAGCGCGCCCTTTTTACTTTTGGACGCTCTGTACATTCCACCTTCTCTGCAAACCTGGCGTCCGGCAAAGCCCGCATGGACTTTCGCCGTCCGGAAAACCGCGAATTTTGGCTTGCTGTATGGCGCTACATAGCCACACTGGGTGTTCGCGCGACATGGCGCACGTCGTTCGAGTGGGCTAAGATGCTACTTGCCATGGACCCTGAACACGATCCTTATTGTCTCCGGTTACTTATAGACCAATTAGCCCTAAGAGGGCGAGAACCGGGGGCCCTGATCGACCTGGTAGAATCAGACTATCTACAGCGAGAGTGGAAGGTTCCGCCAAACCTCGCCTTCAGTGTTGCGCTTGCTCACGATCGTGTCAAGCAGCCACAAAAAGCACGCTCAACGTTGCGTAACGCAGTAAAAGAGTACCCATGGCTAGCGGCGCGCCTGTGCAAAGAATTGGACATTTCCCCAATACCAAAACCTGTATGGGGAAAAGAACCAAACGGCGAGTACCAAGAACTATTATGCCAGCTTTATGTACCCAAGGCGAAGGACTTGTGGAACAACACCGAAGGAACGACTTTGCTTGTGGAAATCTGCTACTCTTTCGAAGAAGAGCTGGGAGCTGGGGAGGACCCATACTGGCTTGCGCAAATGGCAGAGACGGACCTTGGCAGGCATGTAATTCTTTCGGATAACCAACCGCTCATGGCTCTTCTCGATCCCAAAGTCAAGGCCAAGTTCACATCAGTATCTGATCCACTGCCTCCTGACGACAGCATAGAATCCTACGATGCTTCTGTAGCTGGAGCACTCTCAGGGCGCCCCCGCGATCCTGCGGTGCGAGAAGAGCTATTAGCCGAACTCGAACAATTCCAAATATACTTCCAAAGCATAGGAATAGACAGGTTGGTGCAGCCAGGTCTGGAGCAGGAAGGGTTAGCACGGGTGCTAGAGGAAGCGAACAGCAGTATGGAAGAGTTTGGCGAGAGAACACACCGCTTCCAGATGTTACGAAGGAGGTTGCAAGAAGAAGGCGTGCAGTTAGTATTCGATGGACAGGCTGCTGAGGGTGCAGGCGATGGCACCGGCTCGGAGACGGATGAGTAGCGCTGGAGGGCCATGCTGCGCAATGTGCGACTTGATCAGCGGGAGCGCCTCATAGCAAACGCGTGTCATGCCATGGAATGATTATCGATACTTGGAAGTAGAGTTTGCCGCCCAGGCGAAAAATGATGCCCAGTACTATTCAGTCATGGGTATCTTGTCTTGACCGTAATGCGTGATATTACATGTGCAGCCCCCCGCGCGTCTTCTGCAGGGCGAATCCCAAATCTGGCCCCACGCCAGCAATGTTTGGGCCTTGGATTGCTGAGCAGCTTCTTCGTAGAGGCGACGCGGCATCTGAAACACATGGGACTCTAGAGTAGTAGAGCCAAATCAGAGCCAGCCACGTCCGTGCTTGACTGCGCTAAGAAAGTTGAGACCCTGTTGCCGCTCGTGAATGTGACGTACCAAAGGATTGTTTATAGTTGGAGCGGTGCATCTCCGCATAAGCCGCACCGCCGCATCGCCTCAGGCCCTCTTCCAAACACCTAGGTATTCTCTGCACACGTGCTCATATACTCGATTCGCCCTCGATTCTCGTCCCCCGTCAACCGCAACCCTGACTGAAGCTCCCCACCACCATAGTTCGGCGCCATGAGCGGCGTGCGTGCTCACATCGCCAGTCGGCTGCGCAGCTCCTCGCTCTCAGCAGTACCCCCACCACAGCATAGTTCCAACTACTCCCCCGACCTGGCCAAAATCGCGGCTTCCGTCCTCTACCGCTCGCCGCTTCCTTCGCACGAGGGAAGGCCTGTCTTCATCCTCAACGCCGCCGCTCTCCCAGACTCGCACGAAGCAGACTACGACTCCCTGTTGCCTTATGTTCTTGCGCGTCTACCGGAAGAAGACGAGTTACTCAAGGGGTTCGAGTACGAGGTCGTCTTCTTTGCAGGAGATGGTGATGGCTCCGTGACCAGCAAGAAGCACCGGCCTGGCTGGGGCTGGTTTCTACAGGCGTACCATGTTCTGTCCAGGGCCATGCGAAAGAGGCTACAAAGACTATACATTGTGCACGAGAAAGCTTGGGTGAGGATACTGACCGAGATCTTCTCTACCATTGTCAGCCCCAAGTTCAGGAGAAAGATCTACCATCGTACGTATCTACATGTCCCCCCCAGCGCGCACCAATGCTGACTCCTTCCAGTATCCAACTTGACTCAGCTTGCCCACGAAATCCAGATCCAAAACCTCTTGATTCCTCCTTCGACCTATCTTGCCGACCGCCGAGTGTCAGAGCACATTTCTGCCTTCAATGGCAGTGGGAAGCGAGCATTCGGTGCCCGCACTCCCTTCCCTACAGCCACTAATGGCAAGACACGCTTTCCCCGCGTCTTGCGAGAAACAACAAGCTTCGTGCTCATGGAGCAGAACATCACTTCCGAGGGTCTCTTCCGTGTACCCCCACATTCGAGGCTGCGCGACGCGTTGAAGGAGGCATATGATAGGGGCCAGAAATACATCATCTGGAAGGACAACAACGCAACACTTCCCCTGCCGCCATATCCACATGCAGAACACCAAGATGAGATATTAGCTGAGGTGGTCCCAACCGACGCATACTCGGTCTTTATGGCAGCAGCTATGATCAAAGCATGGTACGCATCTCTGCGCCAGCCCATCTTCCCAACAGACTCGTATCGAGATCTTAAGCGACTCTATGGGGATAGCCAAGAAATCCTTGAACTCGAAAAGCTCACAGATCTATTCTCGCCAACCTCAGAGTGGTCTTTGTTACCTGGCATATCCCGCGAGATCCTATGTAGGCATCTCCTGCCTCTCTTGAGTGCCATAGCCGCACGTGAAGAGGAAAACAAAATGACGGCCGAAAACTTGGCTGTTTGTTTCGCACCAGGATTGCTATGTGGTCCCGATCAGCTAGAAGACGCTAAGATGTCTTCCATAATTAGGAGAATCTTTACGCAAGCAATTGACATGTGGACTGAAGGGCTAAGAGAAGCATGTGGGCAGACTGAGGAAGCTTTTTACCAGGAGCTCAAGCTACCTGGAGACGAGAACGACTGGGAAGATCCTGCAGATGCGAAGCGAGATTCTGCCGATAGCAAAGGCTCACTGGAAGATCAGATGAGTGGTATAACGCTACTTGACAACGAAAAGTTACCTACCTATCACGAGCCACAACAGACACAGAGTGAGGAATTGCCGCCTCCGTTACCACCACGGTCTCGCGCACCGTCAGCAAAATCCTCTGCCGATTCTGTTCAGCGAAAACCTGCACCGCCCCTTTCAGTGCCTCCTCGCTACTCTACTGTCATATCGGATGCCCCTGAAAACGTCGCCGAATCACCTGTGACCTACGCTGCGACCACTGATGGCTTTGCTCCACCTCGAAATGACGACAATCGCATCGGTCAGCCCCCCAAGGTACCACCACGATGGAATGGACAGTCGGATGAGAAGAAGTCTGGTACGAGTAATCCAGTTCCAGTCCTTCCCATGTCAGCATCTATTGGCGCACAAGAAGATGCTTCATTTCCCCACGTTTCTACTACTGCTACTGTTGCGCCTAGACTCAACATTCCTAAAAGGAAAACCCTGACTTCGACGCAGATTGACAATGTCTCCAAGGCCGTCGTCGCGCAGGATGAAGCTCATAGACAACCCATGGGCGGCATGGCGCTTCCTGGGCTTACAGGTAATTACTACAGCAACTCTGCTGTAAAGCGAGGTCCGTCATCAACATACGCATCAAGCGAAGGTGTAGCATCGCCTCAAATGACCTCTCCGCAAAGCGCAGTCTCGGCACCAGCGACAGAATCTGCTTTTCGCCGCCCAAGCATCCCCTTCTCTGCAACAAAAATGAACCGCAGTCCTAGCATCAACTCACTCGCTCGACCTGTTTACCCGGTAACCCCTCAAGTTCCTATTATAAGCGTGCCCACAAAGGCAAGCACCCTTCCCGTTCCGGCCGCGCCGCCTCGTCTACGCACTCCGAGCCCAAGCCTTATGCAGCGCATGCCCAGCTTCGAGAATTTTGCCAAAGACCAAAACAAGGGTGGTGCGGAAGCTGAAGATGAGGCTGCAAGAGGCAGAACACTGAAGCCTAAGAAAATGAATCTGAAAAAGCAATCGGTTGAAGATCTAAGGCGGTTGTATGAGGAGCGTGCTGGGACTGCTAGTGTTCTTGTTCAAGCTGGAAAGCAGAAAGGTGTTTGAGTGCTCTATGGTTATTTTAGGCGGCGTGTTGTGTTGATTACATGTCGCTGGCGTGCTTCACACTGTATTACTCAACTGGACTCCTTATTGTTTCTCTTTTTTACACATGTTTATACCCTCGACATCTCATCACCTATACCTATCTTTCCTGCATTTCTACATATGTAATCACAATAAATCTGATACACACCTTGCCACTCCCGCTTCTCCTGTTACAGCTGCGTAATCAGTCCGGCTTTTCGATTTGTCGGGGGAAGCATCACGATGAGACTATAATAATACTGAAGTGCGCACACAGATGCCCTGTGAGGGTTTGAAAGTCGAAAATAGCCCCGTGGAAGCCAGATTGTGAGTTGTCTGGTAGTGGTTGTTTGTACGTTGAGTATGACCATGCCTATAACAGCTCGTAGCCACCAGAATTAAACCCTCCATGTAAAAGTAACATGCATATAGTCCAGCGGCCGTGCGACATACCTCCACTGAACGATACCTGGATACACTCCCTATACTGTGAACATTTCTACGCGGGAGTCACCCCTTTGCAGAGCTCACTGAACCAGCTGCTGTCCGAAGAAAGCCACACTCCAATCTCCATGCTTCATACCGTGCAGTTGTCAGCTCATCGGTCCCTGATTTCCATTCGTATTCTGCCACCATGTTGGATCATATTCTTCTTGTGTGTGATGATGGTGCCCTTCGTGCGTGTCTTGTGAGTAACTGACATTATTTGTTTGTTGTGCATAGCTTCCTCGATGTGCATACCCAGGGCCTCCCTGGCTGTGTGGATTGCCATATACACCGGTAGCAAAGCCATCAACATGACTCGATTGCCAATCCTCGCTGATTTTGAAACCATCGCGACCAAGACGATCACTCATATCAGGGTTGTGGAGTACACTTTCCAGACCCATAGGACTTATTTGTTGGTAATTGTGGCGCGGAACGATTGGACCTGGCACACCAGGAATTGGGTTCCAAAACATGGATTCTGCAGGTTCTGTGGCGGGCGATGTCATTGTGGTAGACATGCTAGCTGCGGAGGATATGGGCTGTGAGTACTGGTATGTCGACATGGGGATCCCTGTGTTGTAATTATTCTGTAAAGGTGTATGTCCGACAACAGGGGACAGATGGTGTTGGCTGGACACCACACTACTTGGTCTCGGATTGGCAGGGTGTGTAGCCAGCTGTAACCGGGGTTGAGGGGCAAACATTGACAAGCTCTCCCTTCTTTGAGCGATAGGTGGGTGGAGGCGACCAGGCCCTATCCGGTTACCGGTGATCGTCGTTGTATTGGGCGGTACCAAGAGAGGGTCAGCCGGAGGACTGATTTGGCCTTTGGACTTGTTAGGGTCACTTGTTGGTATCAAGACAGAATTGTTAAGCTCCTCTGGGAAAGGTAATTTCCACGTTTTCGCCAGGGTGTATATGATCCGGAAGCTCCTCGCCCCAAAGTAATGGCATTCGTGAAGATCATCCAAACCTTGCATGCCCTCAATAAGGTTTTGTCGAGAGATACTGTTATCTTTCGAATAGAGCAGATGCACGACGCAGACGGTGAGGAGTATGTGCGGTATGAGCAGGTGAGCCTGACGGAAGTCATAGAACTGTCGGTAGATCCTGACGAGTTCAGATACTTTGTTAGCTGCGTTGATGCAGATGTCGCGAGGGCGTATGTCAGAGTGAATGAGGTCAACTTTGAGCAGCGGGCGAAAGAGATGGACGATAATTGTCCAGTACAACATGCTACATCTAGTGTCAGTTCTTGCCTCAGCATCGATGGATTATTTGGACGTACTGTAGTACCAAGATGTGGGGCTCGGGTTCCTTCGTGCCCTCTATACCTAAAGAAGGTGGTAGTCTTCGGTACCACGCCTGGTATTTGTGGTAACAGTCGAGTAGTTTACTGCTTGTAAGCCGCTCCTTTGGCGCAAAGAACATGTGGTTGTTGTCATTGACGAGCTCCGAGAGTGAGGCGAACTCCTGGAGAAACATGCGGGTGGTTACGACACCACCCGCTGCGACTTGTAAAGGTGCGGGAAAAGCCTCAGGGAGGTTGGAAGTCTCTTCCAGGATGGGCTTATCAAGAGTTATAGCGGCTCGAGGAAGTTGAGATATGCGACCAGTAACGATTGTCCAGACTCTGTGTCAGGTTAGCCTAGCCAATGCAAAGTAGGTAGAATAAAACCTACGTATCCACAGTAAAGCAGCCCCAGAAGGTGACTTTTCTCACTTCGACTTCACTCGGCGTTAAGCCAAGGGTAGCATTGGCTCCGTAGTTCAAATGTAGACCAAGCTCAACACACATGCGAAGACATCTTCCTATGTAGGAAAAGCCGTTGCTTTCCCTCCCAGTACTCGGCTCGCGCATGGACATGATACAGAGGGCCTGAACCGTCGTAAGGCTCGGAGTTTCATCGTCGAATAACAGTCGCCTGGCCTCAGCGAAGAAGTGATCGCCAGCTGTGCGGAAGTTGTCGGGATCGGTGCGGCCCGCCGGATCGTCTGTGAGGTGACATGCGTATGCGCAAATTGCGTTGACCAGTAAGGAGCAGCAGTACTTGTCGCGCCCTGCCCTGAAGTCTTTGTAAAAGCACTCTCGGCTGAAGAGGATATAGAAAGGGTGACTCCAGGTGAAGTAAAGATCAAGTAGCTTCTCAACGAAAGCCAAGTCGTCCGTCACGTTGGTCCACGTAGAACCTTGACGTTCTGGCATCACACTATTGGTACGCAACCGACCACCAGAGAAGTTCTCATCCTCCGGGACCAGGCCCAAGCTAGCAGAATGACCGAAGTGTCTGCTTTGGCCGGTGGACGTCACAGCTGGCTTCCCAAGCAGCACACTCAAGTCCGACTCGAGACTCTGGACGTCGACGGGCTCACTCTGTGTCAGCAACACGTTTTTGCGCCATTGATCGGCTAAAGAAGCGAGGTCGAGGTTGGGGTCTCTTCGAATATGATGGAGAAATTCCTGGACGTGTTCTTCTGGCAGGCGTCTCAGGGAATTGATGATGGACTCGGCGTTGGACGCATTCTCGGAGCTGGGGGCGGCGACAAGGGAGGCATCGCGTTTGGTGCCAGTGTTGTTGGTAATTGCGGGGGCTGCCTTGGTACGACGACTTTCGCTATCAGCATCGTAGTAGCACTCAGTCTTGTATACGGCAGTGCAAGTTGCGCATACGGGAGTACTGCCGTCACACTGTGAATGAGGTGTCAGCAAGAGGGCGATTCGCGAGGGGCCGGAAAAGTTCCCCGAAGAGTGGCCCAAGCAAGAATTGCAGATTGCATTCAGCAGGAAATGAGTCGTCCGCGGAGGCGAATGTCCAGCATCAGGCCGCACGTACGAGCTTCATGTAGTATTGGGCCATGCAGCGAGAGGAATGATACTCACTTTAGACTTGCGTTTCCGGCAGGGCACGCAGGCCGACTGTACACAACGCCGCTTACTGGCTTTGGTTTCCTGGGCCTGCGAGCTGTCTTGGTCGTCCCTGTTGAAAGAGGTGGCAGTAGCGCCGCGGGCCATTGTTGATCACAAGGGGAGTGAAGGGACAATCCGCGCAGCCTCCTAGGACGGACGTGTTAATTATGCCATTCCGCTGGGCCGGGTGGGAAAGTAATACGGGTTAGCCACCGCGGTCGCAGCAGAACAGCGGGTTCGATTGAAGTAGTTGTGACGTTGGCGGCCGTCGCGACGTCCAACGTGCCTGCCGTAGTTTGTGCTCGGCAAGATACAAAAGCACATGGATGATTTTCGGCAGGGTGGCAAGACTAGAAGCGGCACCCCAAAAGACAAGGCTCGACCACGACCAAGCGGCTCGATTGGTCGGTCTGTTGCAGGATCTAGATCAGGTTTCAGACGATGGGCGGCAAAGGGTTAAAAAAGCGGTCACAGGTGTACCACACATGGGATTTTCGAATCGAAGTTCCGAAATGGCATGAATCAGCTGACGTGCCTGGAGGCGAAAGGCTTTTGCGGAGATAGATGCGACGAACGTCAGGGTGCGCTTTGGGACGCTTCAACCAATGGAGCTTGTTTCGGGTACCGCAGCATCAGATTGCGACAGGACAGATTTTTCTGGAGCACCAGGAGCATCACCAACTAGCTTCGGCATGGCGCACCGAGCACTGGGTCGATCTGCCACGGCCGCGTTATATAGGCTCAAGGAGGAATATGTCCTGGTGCGCAATCTCGATGTGGACGAGACAAGAGGGAGTGGCACCTGAGAAGCGCTGCTTGTGGGCAAGAAGATAAACTGGAAGGAGAGGGGTTGTCATGGCGGAGTATGTCATATGTCATGCGCTAGCGAACGATCTCCAGGGTTCTTGCTTTTGGTGGAGAGGAAGGCCCGATAGCATCCGCTGCCAATGCATTGCCGCCTCTTGTGTCAACGCGAAAGTCGGAAATAAGCTAATGGTGGGTAGCCCTTATAAAATCACAACAACGTACTGATTTTTAAAATCTTAGATTTTACAGGTATTCGCAGCCTTGTGTTGTACCTGTCTACCTTTTCTTATTTAATTTTTATTGCGACGTTGTAGCGCGTGGTTGGGGCAAGGAGAGTTGGTGTTCTGAATCCTACTTCCGACTTTCGCGTTGACGCTAGAGTGCCATTAGTCTCCGGCGAACTTCGGCTCATTTCCGGATCAAGGTATTACCAGGTGGCGGTGCCTTTACCATTATACCGGAATTGTCTCGACTACTCTACTATACCACTCTTCAACATACCGACCACTTGCCAAGCACCAAAGGTCCAGATGCGACCACCAACCTTTCCGCGTAGCCTGTTCGCATGTGAAACTGGCGTCTCTTCGTCACATTTGTTAGTTCGGCCGAATGGTGTGGCCAGATCTGTTCGAGGTGAATTACCTTTCGATCCGAATGGGAGTCTCTGGCTCGAGTTCCGATAGTTCGAATTGAAAGAAAAAGAATATGTTGGAGCAATTTCCCAAGATTATCCATAGGTCTTGAGTTGTTGAACAGTGACGTGTCTATCTGTACATCAAGTCTAATAACTTTTTCCGTCTTGGGGGTAATAATGTTGGAAAACTCGCAGCCTCTGACACCCTAACTCCCATTACACCCGACCAGTGCCGTTCAGTCTATTCATGCACCATTGACAGGCAGAACACCCTTCAGTGGCGGCAGCAGACTTCTTGCGCCCTGTCTCGCTTGCTGAGCCAGTACAGCATCCATAATGACCAATGCAGCCATCATCTCAACGATGGGCACTGCACGAGGCACTACACAAGGATCGTGTCTGCCCTTGGCTTCTAAAACACCTTCTTCCTGGTCGTAGGTGACTGTCGACTGTGCCTGCCCAATAGTTGCTGCGGGCTTGAACGCTACGTTGAAGTAGATGGGCGCGCCATTCGTGATACCGCCTTGAATCCCGCCTGAATTATTCGTCTTGGTAGTGAGCTTTGGTTTCGAACGATATTTGCTTGCATCAGGGTTCTCGCCAGCCGGAACAGCAGGAGCCTTGACAAAGGCATCGTTGTGAATTGAACCAGGCACTTGTGCACCTCCGAAGCCAGAGCCGATCTCAAACCCCTTGGTTGCCGGTATCGACAGCATGGCATGTCCCAACTTGGCTTCCAGCTTGTCAAAGCATGGTTCTCCCAAGCCTGTTGGGCAGCCTCTTATGACGCAAGTCACTGTGCCACCTATGCTGTCCTGCGCATCGCGGTACTTGGCGATCAAATCCTCCATACGCTTTGTGACTTCTTCGCTCGGGCATCGCACAGGCAAAAACTCGTCTACCTTGTTGCGTGTAATTGAGTCGATGAGCTTGAGGTACTCTGGGTTCGTGGATGCGGTGGGGTGTTCGGGTGTGGGGGGGAAGAGGAACTCGTTTCCGATGGAGTTGGTGAAGGCGATGATCTCGATACCGTAGGCTTCGCGCAGGTACTTCTCTGCTATGGCGCCAGCTGCTACTCGTCCTGGGTATTGTCAGCACTCGCGTGGTGATTGCGCGTAAAGTCACGCACCAATCGTCTCTCGTGCACTGCTGCGTCCACCACCTGAGCTAGCCTTCACACCATATTTTTCCAAGTATGTCCAGTCGGCATGGCTGGGTCGCGGGTACTTGTCCATGGTCTGGTTGCCGTAATCTTGCTTGCGCTGGTTCTCGTTCATGACCCGGACGCCAATTGGGGTGCCTAATGTGATGCCGAACTCTGTACCGGACTGAATCTCTACGCGGTCCTTCTCATTGCGGGGGGTTGTGATAGCGGACTGGCCGGGTCGACGGCGCGTCATCTGGGGTTGGATGTCGTCCTCGGTGAGGGCCATGCCAGGCGGGCAACCATCGATTATGGCGCCGACGGAAAGACAGTGGGATTCACCATAGCTACGGAGTTTAGTATACGATAGTAGATCATATGGTGGATGTGTGCATACGTGGTGACCCTGAAGTGCGTACCAAAGGTAGACATTGTGGCTGTGGTGTTGGCGAGCTTGTGGAGATCCGGCTCTCTTCTGAACAGCGAGTCTAGCCAAGGAAAAGTGTATCGGTGTATGCAGAGGTGCCTCTACGTTTGAAAAAAATAAAATAGTAGGAGATTAATTCTTGTATTGTTGCAAGTCCAGACGCGTGCGCTAGAACAATCAACGTCAGAGTCACTCTAGGAGTTTTATTTATTTAGCGGGGCGCGGAGTAGAGCCGTCTGGGAACCCGAGATCGGCCACCGATGGTAAGGCTGGTCTCGATTACATAGGCAACCCATGTCTCCCTTCCATCGGTGCTTCAACGCACTTCATGCGAATTGAACAATTGGAACTGCAGCCCAGGAAAGGGTCTCTAAGATTCTAAGATATAACCAGGAAAAGCCAACAGAGGCACTGGCTTGCACTATGCGCTGGGAACAAGAACGAGCATGAGGAGAAGGGATCAAGAGCTCCTGGGCTGCTTCGCTCCAGACGCGGACTAGGCATATATCTAAACTGCTTCGATCCTGTTCAACTGCTAGATTCGACGTGGAAACCGCAGGAATTGGCAAATAGGTTGGCAGTCTTCGCCCTTGAAATGGTGATTGGTTTATAGTGGCATGGGGATGTGCTTGCAGGGTCAACGTTGTCGCCCAAGCAGATAACCCCACCCCTCATGACATGTGCTGTTCTTGTGCTGTACAAAGCTTCCGGTCAAGGAAGGACTGGCGACGACATATACGTGGGCGAGTGGGTCGAACAACTGGAAGACGATGGCACGCGCGAGGGCGACTGCGCCTGAGAGCATTTCCGTGGTTGAGAAGGACAGATGGCAGTTGTCAATCGGATCAAGCCAGTGTCAAGTAGAATGAAAGAGGTTCTGGAGGATGCATACCAAGACCAGACAACAAAGCGTATGAAACAACGGTCAGTATGGAGTCAGATGGGTGAATAGATGAGCTCCCATCCGCGCACGTTGCCGACCAACTGGCAGCACGAAGATCATCCGGGATTACTAGCGCAGACCCTTGCCGTGACTTCTCAAGAAGTTTTGCTTCCAGCCAGCAACACCACCCCCAAAACACCCCTCTATCCTCCATCGCATCCCCCACCAAACCGCCATTATGACTGAATACGTCAAGGTCGAGAAGATCATCCCCAAGTTCCCGCCGCCGGCGTTCAGCGACATCGCCAAGGCCTCGAACGACGTATGTTTTGGCTCCCCGCGACGAGCTTCCGCATGGCGCCATTGCTAACGGAGCCGCCAGCTTATCAACAAGGACTTTTACCACACTGCCGCAGGTCCGCGAAACCAATTGACTCTCAAGCTCAAGCACTGACGCGCCTGCAGCTGCCCTTGAGGTCAAGCTCAAGGCCCCCAACGGTGTCAACTTCACCGCCAAGGGAACCTCTGCTCACGATGGGCCCGTCACCTCTTCTGTAAGTATGCGACAGTACGCGGAAAAATGCCATTGCTAACGAACCAACCAGCTTGAGGGCAAGAAGTCGCTTTCCAACGGTACGACAAACCATTCATTTCTCCCCCGCTCTACAAGCCTCGTAATCCCCATTCATACGTCTTCCAACTTTCAGTCTTATATATTCTACATGAAGCAGCCCCCAGGCAAAAAGGGTGCTTCTGTAAGCGGCTACGGAATCAACCTGCTGACAACCGACGACGCAGGCATCAGCATCACCCAGTCATGGAACACTGCCAACATGCTGGCGACCAAGGTCGAGCTCAACGACACCTTCGCCAGCGGCTTGAAGACCGAGGTTCTCTCCAACTTCAGCCCCGCTGCCGGCAACAAGGGCCAGAAGGTCAACCTTCACTTCAAGCAGCCCGCTTTCCACGGCCGTGCTTTCGTCGACTACTCGGCCGCCGGCGCAATTGGCACCACTGCCGATGCTGTCGTTAGCCACGAGGGCATGGTCGTCGGTGGTGAGGTCGGTTACGATGTGCAGAAGGCTGCCATCACCAAGTACTCCGCCGCTGTCGGATACACCACCCCTCTCTACAACGCTGCCGTCACTGCCACCAACTCCCTGAGCGTCTTCACCGCCTCTTACTACCAGCGCGTCAACCCCGCTGTTGAGGCCGGTGCTCGCGCTGTCTGGGACTCAAAGTCTGGCAACAACGTTGGCCTCGAGCTCGCTGCCAAGTACAAGCTTGACCCTGCGTCTTTCGCTAAGGTATGATGGTCCCTGGTATGCACGAGGGCGTTCATGCTAATCCCATATAGGCCAAGATCAACAACCTTGGAATTGCTTCCCTCGCCTACAACACCAAGGTCAACAGCGGTTTGACCTTCGGTATTGGTGGCTCTTTCGATACCCAGAAGCTGAACGAGGCCGGCCACAAGCTCGGCACCAGCTTCACCTTCGAGGGTTAAGCACCTCAAAGATGACGTTTGTGGACAGGAGAAGGGGGAAATGGCCTTAGATTCCTTTGGTTCTCGCGAAGCGATATCATATCAATCTAGTGCTCAAGAGCGAGCGTAGTATAGTTTTCTGACACGTACGACGACTTGCCTCAATGCAATACTTGGACTTTCAGACTCGAATGCACGTTCTCGTGGTGACGATGACCAGCTCCTAACCATGTCTAATGCCATTCACTGGAGTCTTCGTCGGGGTTTTAAGGGCATGATGCGTCGGCACGACTGCTTGTTTTATACATGTACTGGTTCTGACACGACAGTCTTCAACAACACGCAAATTGCAAAGCCGAGCAAATGACCCTTGATCAATGAGCTATGATGTTTGTTTACTGTTTGTTATTTCTAATGTATGCTATGCCTGACTCCGAACGTGAAGCCATTACCTCATGAATGGAAACCCTGAAGCCTCATCTCTACTTGTTACAATTCACTACAAATATGACAAGAAGCCATATGCAGCATAAAAGTGAAGCTTAGTAGTCGTCACCGCGACTGAGAATCTCCTTGCAGTTGGGTCGGAGTACGAATGTCTATCGTGCGTCAGCAGATGTCCTTGCAAAGACTAGTCAACCACCTTGATTACTTACATGTTCGCTCTGTGCCGTGTAACTACCCTTGATGTCGCACAGTGGGGGGTAAGCCTCAACGATACCCGCACTGACCAAGTTGTTCAAGCCCAAGAGGTACTTGTCATGGCCCAATCGATCGAGGTACCGCCTGCAGAAAGGCAGAGTACCGAAATTCTTTGTAATTGAGTTAAGTAGTGTCTTCGCCGAAGAAACACGAAGAGCGACTTTCGGTGCGTCCGCCCTCTTGGCGTAATGTGATGTCTCCATCTGAGGTGATTGTTAGTTGAGTAGAGTGCAGGAGGTTGGGTAAGTGACTTACGTCATCTCGAACATAACCCTTTCCTGTGCTACCGAACGTTTCGATAGCAAATGTCTCGCCTTCTTCCATCTTTGTTTGGTCGCCGCCTTTGACGATGGGCACGGTCTTGCCGCCATGAATGGTGTAGTGGCCAATCGAATGTCCGTTGAGGTTCCTTATGCACTTGACGGGCAGCATCTGTCCCTTGATCTCCACTTCGTAACTCTCCATGACTTCTTGGATGGCAGCGCCGATATCGCTCATACGAACGTCGATACCGGCCTCCTTGATACCAGCATTGGTAGCGGCCTTGCAGGCGTTGATCAAGTTGTCGTATACAGGGTCAAAGGTCAGAGTGAAGGCGCTGTCGACAATGCGACCGTTGATGTGTACACCAAAATCGACCTTCATCACGTCCTCGTAGTTGATGACCATCTTGTTGCCCGCGTTGGGCGTGTAATGGGCGGCACAATGGTTTATGCTCAGACCCGTTGGGAAGCCCATACCTGCTATTTGCGCATCACCGTCCTCCAGACCCTGATGTCCTGTCAAGGCGCGAACCGAGTCTTCGATGCCCTCGGCAATCTCGGTAAGCGACATGCCAGGCTTGATCCAGTCCTGAGCCCATTGCCGGACTTGACGGTGAATCTCTGAGCCTTTACGGTATTCGGTGAGGAAGTCGTTGTTCATGCGGTCGAGGTGGCGCTTCTCTTCGGACGTGGTGCGGTACGCGTTCTCGTTGACGTATTCCTGGATTTCGCCCTCGGGATACGAGTTGTTGGGGAAGAGCTCGTCGATGCGGACTCGTGGCGGTGATGTCTGCACCTTGGGTCCTCCTGCGCCGCCTGCTGCCCCAGCCTTCTTCTTCTTTCGGGGCTTTCTCTTCTTCTTCTTTTTCGCAGCACCCTCGCCGCCTTCGGGGGCACCATCCTCGGCCTCATTGTCGTCGTCCGAGTCTTCATGGTCCGCGTCGCCCGTGGGCTTGTCGCCGTCCTGTGCTGCGCCGTTGGTTGGCTTACTGCTGGTGTCGTCCACTGTATGCTGTTAGCGGCTACAACGCGCGCGAAGAGGCCGCAGAAAGCCGTACACTTCAAGTTGGCGACTTCGTCCGCTACCTTGGCCGCCATGTTGACCGTGGAGATCGTTCAGTGCTTGTCTCGTGGGCAATCTTGAAATTTACGAGCCTCTCGAATCGCCCCGCTAACAGACGCCGGTGGGCTGTCGCCCACGCATTCGGTCGATTAGCCACAGCTAGGCCATGCTTGTCTTAGCCTCGGCAACTTGGCGATGACGTCCTCCATGCGCGCCCACCCTTCACTCAAACCCGTACTTTCTGCATGGGCACCTACCACCCCCGCATACTGGTAATGGGCAATGCCACCCCGCCCATCTACTCTGCTGCGATCAATCGCTTCATCCTCGGCCCCGCGTCTACCGAGCCTGTCATCGCAATACGTATGTCGCGCATGTCTCCGTCGCACGATACCTGCTCCTCCGCGGCGCATTCAGGTCGCACGCTTGCATGCCACAGCACCACGACCCGCCGATGCGCTGGTAAACCACTATGAGACGTTGCATCTGACCTCGACGGCTTCTGCCTCTGAGATCAAGCGCCAATTCTATACCCTCTCCAAGAAAAACCACCCGGACCACAACCGCAATGATCCCGAAGCCTCCACACGTTTCGTCGCTATAAGCGAAGCCTACCACGTTCTCTCCGTCCCAGAGAAACGTGCACAATACGACGCTCAACTCGAGCATTCACAACGGCAGTCGCGATGGGGACAGAGCGGGAATGACTACCCGCAGGGGAGCTACAGCTCCGCTGCCTATGGCTCAAGACCGGCTAGTGGGCTGAATAAGAAACGCAGTACCTTCCGAGGCCCACCGCCTTCGTTCTACAAATCTGGCGGCTATGGACGCCATGGTGCGAAGCGAGCCGAATACGCATATTCTAACGCACACGAACGAGGGGAAACAGGCAAGGATGCCGGTCAAGAGTCCTACGGCGAATGGGGCGGCTTTGGTCCAGGACAGCAGAAGCAAGGCAATCAAGTTCCCCATTTTGACGACATAAGGCACAAAGAAACGCAGGACAACGTAAATGATCATATATGGGCTAGGCGAAGGAAGCTGCGCAGGCATGGCATCAAGGTGGAAGAGGAATGGGAAAAGGGCAACATGGTTGTCAATTTCCTAGCAGTTTCGACTGTCATTGCGCTCATTGGGATTACGGCCAAGTTCTTCGAGAATCGGCACGAGGCTAGTAGTCGTCGTAAGAACAAGGAGAGCGCATAAGTTGCGTGGGCGATTGAAGATAGAATCAAAGGGTTGAGTACCATGTCGGATAATAACTCAACAATTTCATCAAAGCCTACTACTCCTAAGCATAGCCTAGTGTGGCTGACAGATGAACGGTGATGATGATGATGATGATGATGATGTTCTTCTTACGAGCGAGCATTTTGAACAGGAGGCCCCATAAATCGGGAAGAAAGATGCAATGAAGGCTGAGCTGCGAATCGAGTTTTCCAAACTTTGGAATACCTAAACCCCATGGCCAATGGCAGCGCACACACCAGGAGTTTTCGCATCAAATCACCCACTTAGACGTTGGCGTACTACTCTTTGGACCCTTCCCGTCACGTAATCCTCTTAGTGATGCGATATCTGCATGTATTAGCCACCGCTAGTGGTCGGTTCATTTACGCTTACAAGAACAGTTTCTCCCTTGAATATACCCCCTTGTCAGGATCATCGACCACCTCCTGCACGTCGAACATCTTCCGCGCCGTCTTCATGAATGTCAGATCCGCTCGTCTCCTCCTCTTGAAGCAGAAATAGCACACAGTAGTCTCGCCGATCAGATCCTTTAGCGTCTGTTGCAGTAATGGAAATGCAGGCTCGAAATATACGCAGTCTGCTGCTAGGATGATATCCGGGTGTCTGGGCAGGTGTGACGGCGTCGGTTCGCCCCAATCGTATATCGATGCGCTGACAAGAGACTGCAGAGAATTCAACGCAATGTTACGCCTCATGAGTTCAAACATTGGTTCTTGATCTGTGATATGCAGCGTAGTATCGACCTTGCAACCTATCGCAACCGCCAACCCGACCAGCCCTCCTCCGGCGCCGAGTTCAACTATCTCTTTGCCCGCGAGATCACCTTTATGCTTCCGGAGCATGTATTTGCTCAGGACCATGCCAGCTGGCCATAGCTGCCCGCCGCAACCGTTCTTCAGATCCTCATGAAGTTTGAGTGGGGGTTCCAGCAGACCGTCGAAATCTATTTCGGAATCGCCAGCAGGTTTGATGGGCGCTGGAGGAACAAAATCCTGTCCAACGCCAAAGACATTGTTCTCTTCGCTATCGGACATTTCGAGTAGGTTAGTCAGGGACAGCGTTCACAGTTCGTAGTTGGAGTTGTGCCTTCCAACCTTGGAAAGTTCGCGCAGGCTCAAAATGATGTTAGTGCGACCAAATGTGGAGATGGATCCGCCGTGTGCAACGACCGAGACTTTCACAACGCTTCATCGACTTTCTTTTGTTCTCCATCGACTTGTTGGAACCCCCATATCTGGATATGGCGCGTTGCAGAAGCAAACCACAGAGTCACGAGTACCACGCGTTGATGCTAGGCTGAATGTCGAGTAATGCACTGCTCGACCAGCTTTCCTGTCTTTGACCGTCGAGACGCTTCCTTATCTTTATTGTCGCGCCGCGATCGACATCAACTTGTAGTCAAGCCAATGACATCCTTTCTTGGTGCCTATCAAGCGCCTCAATGCTGGGCGCTTTGGGATCGAATGCGGACACCGGGAGCGGGTTGCGTTCAGCCGAGGTGGCTTGCTTGTTCCTGCGGGCTGCTTAAACCCATGTCGACGTCTTTCACCTTACGGGCTCGTTATTCTCAATTGTATCTTCACACGGATTTTCAAAGAGCCGTCTGCTCAATCCTAGGGGTCGGCTTCGTGTAACAGTTGTTGACTATGGGATTACCTACAGAGGTGCTGCAGGCCTGGGAGGCTTGCGATCGAACTGATACGCTCTTTGTGCTCGTCTGTTCGGTATTTTGTACGTACATTTTCCACAGAAACTCACCACGTTGGCTGATTTTGTCAAGGCTGGGGTATCATACCAGCTGTAGGTATAGCCTACTCTGGTTATACAACACGTTCCAACTCTCTGGCAGCCATCATGCCAGCTATCCTATCAGTAATCGTCTGCTCAATCCAATGGTTTCTCATTGGATATACCTTGACATACGGTGAGGGAGGAGCGATCTTCGGAGACTTCAAATACGCATTTCACAAGAATGTCCTAGCAGAACCCGTTGGAACAATTCCCGCAGTGTTGTTCAGCTTCTTCCAACTGGTCTTCCAAGCTACGGTGGCTGCTATCGCTGTCGGCGGTGCATGTGAGAGAGGGAGAATACTTCCATTGATACCATTTATATTTGTGAGCTCACACAACTCGATTGCGCCAACGAGGTCAACTGACCAACAATAGCTCTGGTCTACCTTCGTTTACAACCCCTTAGCTCACATGGTATGGGGTGGTGGTTTTCTCATGGATCTAGGCGTGGTGGATTTTGCGGGCGGTACGCCAGTGCATATTAATTCTGGAGCGACAGCGACGGCCTTGTCCGTATATCTTTCATACCCGTTGTTCCGCTCACGCAAGTCGTCGACCCGAACGCCATCCCATTTGGTCGTCCACCGTCCCGTCAACTCGCTTTGCCAACTTCTCGCTCTGATCAGTATTTGGGGTTCGTGGCTGGCTTTTGATGCTGGGACGACTCTGGCATTCAACTTCAAGTCCGTAATGGCCTTGTGTGTTACGAACCTCTGTGCTGCAAGTGGGGCGCTCACGTGGATGGTTTACACCTACGTGGAAGTGGGACGCTGGAGTCTAGACTCATGCTTTATGGGTGCCATCTCTGGACTCATCATGATTACACCTTCTGCAGGTTTTATCGACCTGCCAACAGCCTTCCTCTTTGGTATACTTGGTGCGTTGTTTTGTCGTCAAGCGCTTCGTATCAAGTTCAGTGACTTTGCTCGACGCTGGAGATGGGTTGACCATGGCGACACCTTCGCAACACACTGTCTTGGTGGCATTCTAGCAACAATTTCCACCGGCTGTTTTGCGCAAAAAGAAGTTGCTGGTTACGATGGGTTCACCGAAATCGTTGGCGGAGTGTTCTTCGATGGCAATGTACGGCAGCTTGGTATTCAGGTTGTGGAAGCCCTCGTTGGATTCTCGTGGTCGTTCATTGGAAGCTACGTCATTTATGCGCTCATTGACTGTGTACCAGGCTTCGAGGCTTTAGCTGAAGACAAGTAAGTTGAGTTCGACGATTGGAAGAGTGAGACTAACAGATTACCAGGGACATCATTGCAGGCTTGGATGCAAGTCAAATGGACGAAGAGACGCTATGGACCGAGACGCAGAAGTACTACCCCTACGTCGACCGCGAAGGCGAGCTGCATCTCGACTGATGGAGGGTGAGTTTACATGGTGGTCGGTTTATTGTTCAGCGTACAGAGAATGGATACGATGAGGTCGAATGAAAAAATAATACTCTCAAGCTTCACCAAAACCTCGGCATTGCAGCGTCGTGACTGGTACACGATATTAAAGAACAAGATAGACATCACAGATCTATTGACGTAGCAATTCATCCTCAGGATTACATCGGTGACTCTCCGCAATCCTGGAAGGTCAAAACGCCCCTCCTTCCCTGTCTGCACTCTCTCGGCCCCCAAATATCAGGCCAAGCACCAATGCGAGATGCTTAGCCCTCGCTACGCGTCTCTTACCCACGCGCAAGCCTCCGAGCACACCTACGCAAGCACAGCCCGCCAAGCCTCATGCCCGGAATTTGCCTTGAACAAGAACTATCACCTACATAATCAAGAAGCGCCTCATTGGTCAATCTAGAGTTTCACGCTGGGTATGCGGCTCTCCCGAAGCGCGCTTGACCTCAAAAGTAGTAGAGTTGGGTGCTGGAAGTGTTTGCCAAGACATGTGTACGCGTCTTCTTCGGCGGAACCTACCGATGCTCGACCCGCACATACGTAAGGCATGTCGACTGTACACAGAGACGTTGGAGACCAAACTACAAGCGATGAGATCTGGTCTCTTGATTTAATTGGGTCCGATTTGCTTTGAGTTGCGTGGTGTATCATTGGAGGCTTACGTGGCTGACTAGCCGTGTTGTTCAGGGCTGGAAGAACGGGCATGGGGAGATGCGAGGCTAGTGGTTTGAATTGATGGGGTTCTTCTGCAGCTTGAAATTGACATTGAGGCTCGGCATGTAGATGTCAACTATGGGGCTTTGTGACCGGTTGTATCGTGATAATGTTCTGGCCGACAATGGAAACTGCATCATGGGTTATGATTGCGGCGAATTCACTTGGGTATGTACACGCGCGCTTCATATCACATCAACGGTCATATACAACACCAAGCAAATATGATAGAAAGTGATCCAATGGTGGGTCCAAGCGTACATACTCCCAGACCTTCATGTCGCCAAGCCCGGCTGAGGCTACGAAAGAGTAGCATGTCTTGCGTATGCTTGTGACGACTCGTACAGGTCGAAGAGAATCATGCAGGGCATGGGTATGGGTCAAGGATAGGAGGACGAACACCATGTTTCTGTTTCGTTTCCATCATCGACGTCGTGATCTAGAGACCCTAGGGAGGCTAAGGAGCTGCAGATATAAAGTCAGTGGTCGGTAGCAATCTAAGTCTCCATCGCCATCGCTTTCCTTCTTTATATTAGTTCACGAGTTCACTAAGCGACTGTCTATCATGAAGCTTACCACCCTTATCAGTGTCGCCTTCTTGGCTCAGAGCTCTCTCGCACACCCAGGCGAAAGTGCTGCACAGCATGCGCGAGACGCTGCTGAGCGAAGAGCCTACTTGGCGAACAACAAGCGGTCTCTTGCGCACTGCGATGATACACTCAAGGCGCGTGGTAACGATATCACTATGCACGCTCGTCGCAGCGCCATGGTGGAAAAGCTTCGAGCTAAGCGGGCCATCGCCCAAGGTACGTTTGTTCCCGAGAAGAGTCCCTAGACTGGAAGCTGATGTATTGAGCAGACAAGCCATACCTGCGCATCCGTGACCTTGATACTGTGCTTGCTACCGATCACAAGTCGAACATGACTGGCGTGACTGCCAACACCGATCCCGCCACTCTCTTTGCAGGAAACAACTCCTGCATTCTTACACCTGAAGTCACACAAGGTCCTTACTGGGTTGAAGGCGAGCTTGTGCGAGAAGACGTTACCGAAAACCAAGAGGGCATCCCTATGACGTTGGACATCCAGATCATCGATGTGAACACATGTGAACCTGTTCCCCAGGCTTACCTCGAGATGTGGCACTGCAACGCCACTGGTGTGTACTCTGGTGTTGTGGCTCAAGGTAACGGGGTTGGTGAAGATGACGAGTCAAACTTGCAGAACACTGCATTGCGTGGCATCCAGCAGAGCGACGAAAACGGTGTTGTTGTGTTTCAGACCATCTTCCCAGGACATTACACCGGCCGTGCTGTAAGTCCTCACCGTTCCGCGTGATCTTCTTCTTGCATAATTCATACCAACTAACGACTGTATTATAGACGCATATCCACGTCATGTCCAGACTCAACGCAACCGTAAACGCCAACTCGACCCTCTCGGGCGGCCACATCACACACGTGGGACAGATGTTCTTCGATCAGGACCTTATCACACTCGCCGACACGGTAGAACCCTATGCTAGCAACGAACAGGAACTTACTTCGAACTCGGATGACTCTATCCTCGCTGAAGAAGCCGAGGATGTTGATCCATTCGTGGAGTACGTCATGCTGGGCGATGACATCTCTGAGGGTCTCTTTGGCTGGTTGGCGTTCGGCATGGACTCGACCAACTCTTACAACATCACCCCCGCGGCATACTGGACTGAAGAGGGAGGTGTTGAGAACGAGAATTCTGGTGGTATGGGCGGCGGTCCTGGCGGTGCTCCAAACGGTACTATGCCTTCTGGTACTGTTATGCCTACGGGAGCCATGCCTTCAGGAAATGCTGTAGAGTCAGGCATGAGTACCACGGTTGTCTCGTCACTGAGTACCGCTGTTGCTTCATCAGCCGCGTCCTCAGTTGCCAGTGAGATCACCCCTGGCGCCGCTGGAGTTACTATGCCTTCTGACGCTCCTCAGGGTGGACATGGACGTGGTAAGGGCCACCAAGACCATGCCAACGAAGAGAAGCAGCGGAACCGACATAACACCCATGTTCAAGGACAGTACTAACAGCTTCTCTTTCCAAAGCAATGTGTAGGTGATCAGAGGACGTGTAGAGACACCATTATTGTAGAACTACATAGCTAGTTAGCAGGAGTGCTGAGGACGCAGCAGTTTTGAGGATCAGGGGGAGCCAACTTTGACACACTCATTTGAGGGAGCATTTATTTACCTGTATATCATATCGAATCAATCGGACTCGTGCTCCGACATTCGCATTTCCATACCACTCCTGTCCATATTGTCGCTTCGTGTAACGATCGATTGGAGGCCTAGTCGTGAGTGTTGACGTGATCGTATTCTTCGAAGGTTCCCATGCATTATCAGCCCTCCGTCTTGTCCTGCGCTTCTTAGTTCTCAAGCGCTTTCAGCCCATCCACCAATGCGCCGAAGCTCTTAACCCTAACATGTTTCTTAGGGTCGTCTTCTTTCCCTGCCTCTTTGGCCGTCTGTCCCATGCTCTTCTTCATTTCAGCATCTAACTGTCTTTGCACCTGCTCGCGATCCAAAACCTTCCTCGCTTCTTCAAACCCCCCAATATCCCTCACCCTCTTGAACCCTAGCTCCTTCAGTCTCCCCAATGCAATGTTTGAGCGTCTACCACTGCGACAATACAGTGTGACTGCATCATCCTTCCCCACGACTATGCCTTTTGCAGCGTATATTTCGGGTAATTGATCGATGATTTGGTACTCGATGTTTACGGTAGGTGCGATGTCGGAGGTGAGGTAGCCGGTGGAGAACTCACTGGGGGAGCGTACATCGACTAGGAGTTCTTGTGTTGACATCGTGAGTATGTGCGAGCGCATATGTGGACGAGTAGGGAAGTGTTGCAGATGGGCGGGTGGTTGTGCGACGCGATGGTGGCATAGAGGGGTAGCACATTGGTTCCGATCGCTAGCTTTAACCCCGCATGGAAATCTCACCCCGAAGGCAAGAGCCCAGCCCTCTGTGATCAACCTAGATAGAACCCATATGTCCCTAAATGGTACTATAAGAAATTTATCTGAGGTATCTATGGTATGTTTCGTCACTGGAGTCACAAGATACAGCAAAATTCATTTCTCTGCCTCGATTGTTCGTTACAACAACTTATCCGGCACAGGCTCCTTGATAGGACTCTTCCGTTTGATAAACCCTAAAATCATTCACAACTTGCATGTATGGCTGTGGACGGGCGATCTTTGAGTTGAAGATTTTTTTTTTTCATTCAGAGGAGAGCTACCAGTCTGATGGACCACTCTACATGTGGTTCTATGAGTACAAAAACACCTTTTGTCTTCCAATGCTCATTCTTGTAACGCTTTTTTTAGCGCTCGATCGCAGCAACACACCGTTTGCCGTGACAGCGACCTCTTTCCTCTTCCCAACGCCAAAGAACCGGCTGACGCAGGCTTTTAGAAGCCTCAGTAGCTATGCAAAAGGTATCAAATGTTGTGCAGATATCTGTAAGCTGCCGTCGCAAAATATGAATGTGCCTCCCAGAAAGGAAATCGCTGAAGTGGTATAGAACAAACAAAAGAGACTCCGGCATTGGTATCGTAAGTGTCCGTGACGTAAAGGGCAAGAACAGATGCAGTAAAAACGCAAACATTAAGGTATGTCGGGCAAGTCGCCATCCAGAGGCGTTTGATGAAGAAGGGCGCAATGAAGCGCAGTATACATGTCTATGAACCCTTCAGGTTCGCGGTGGAGAAGTTGAAGTTCAGAAACTCGAACTTATCTTTCGAATTGGTTCGACTTTCTGTCGAAAAGGTGCTTTGCGCACTGTTGTCAATAGATGGTGAGCCTCTTACGGAGTGCTGTGCCTCTCGCGGTTCGAGAAGCAGCGATCGACGGTAATAGCTTTGGACATTGGCCTGATCGCTTGCACGCATTCGCTGGATCTGGCTCTCCATCCATTCCTGCATCTCTGGGATGGCAGCTAGCCGGTAAGGGACTTGGAATGATTGAAGCTGACCAATAATCTTGGCTGTCTTCATGTGTTTGTCGAAGTTGATGACAGAGACGCTGTCAGAACCAGAGTCACCAGGAAGCTGTCGCGTGGTGCCGTTTCCGACATCAATAAAAGTGAGATCGGTAAGATAGATGCCGACGAACGGAATGCATGGCGCGATGTGGTTCTGCAGACGCTGTCGGAGCACCGCATAGTTGCGTCCCACGTCGGTAATCGCTTTGAGTTCGTCTAAACGAGTCTTGGTCTTTGCGGATACAAGCTCCCAGGTACGCTTGAGACGCATGACCATGGAAGAGTTGAGCGAGCAGATGATGGCCATCAGTGAGTCGTAGTTGTTGAGCTCCAAGCACTTCGCCGCAACCTTGACCCATTGTTTGATAACGATTGCGCGTTTCTTTGCATCCTCAAGCTGCAAAATGGTATCGGCAACCAAGTTTGCCAGGTCGGTCGAGAGAGTTGACATCGCTTTGACGTTGCGAGCCTTGGAATCTTTCTTCTTTGTCCATTCCAAGGCAAGGAGCTCTTCGGGCTGAATGGCACAGAAGAGCCTCGACTCGATAATGGTGAACTGTCTGGCAAGCTCTAGAGGATCGAAGTCCAGGATGCTGCACTGCGTTCTGCCCTCTTTACTACTTCGCAAGGCGTTAAGTTGGCTCTTGGTTACAATTGGTGACGGAACGTTGCTATCAGCAAGGGTGAAAGCTGGGTTTGAAGCACCCGTCTTGCTGATTGAAGACACCAAGCGAGGTACAAGAGCTCCGGCCCTTACTTCTGTCACCTTGGAAGTCAGTTCGGCGAGTCTTTTGCCAGCAGCAGGCATGGCTGCACGGAGCTTTCCAGTTGCAAACGCAAGGATCACGCCCAGAGCAGCGGAGTCACTCTCGCCACACCAATGGCTTTCTAGCCAACCCTTGAAGACATTATAGACACGGAGACGGACCGGAACTCCAACTGTCTGACTGCTGCCGATGTAGTCAAAACGGTCGATAAGGCACTGCGCCAGATCGAGCGGTGTTGTGAAGAGACGGAAAGTAAGATAGAAGGCGTTGACGAAGATGACGTCTGGAGTAGACTCGAAAGTGGTCAGCTGCTCTACGAGCGCTGGAAGGGAACCGCCAGAGATTTGACCTTCCTTGTTATAGATCAATTCATGCACGTAGGTAGTCTCCAACAAGTGCTCTTCGCCAGCAGCGACATCCTCACTTGCTAAAGATCGAAGCTCGGAGGAACTGCCGAAGCTGCTGATTAAAGTCTGGCAACTCTCCTTCTTCGTAGGCGAATGATCTGGTGTGGTAGCACGTGTCGATGTGTGCGAAAGAATGCTTCCAGAATCACCTTGGGCACTGAAGTAGGTGCTGCTTCCGTCATTCACAGAAACGTAGATGCTATCAGTTTTAGTAGAACCAGCGAAACTTTCCTGGGCCGTGCTTATGGGACTCTCGACGGAGTCAGATGCGTGAGGCGGAGGTAGTGACGGAGTTGGTACCGCATTGAGAGGAGGCAACGATGATCGGGACGATCTGAACGACACAGCAGTTGGGCTCTCGACAATGACGGACTGGGTCGATGGTTGAAGGCTGAGTCTGTTGGTATCGAGAGGTGAGGGTTGCGGCACCTCAGGAAGTGGCTTCGATTCTGAGATGACTAGTGGTGGAGGCATCTCACTTTGCTCAATTGGCGTAGCGGGTAGTGGTTTGTTCGTCTCTAGAACGGTATCCGTAGGCTTCGGCGAGGCGGACTCAACCGTGGACACTTGGTTCTCCGTATCGGGCTCGTTGAACATCGTTTCTGACAGCCCTAGACCAGCAGGCTCAGCTTCAAACTCGAAGTCACCAATCCTTTCAATCACTACTCTAGCTTTGGTGACACAGTCACCAGCAGAGCGAACACAGCTTGTGGCAGCAGCGACGATCTGCTTCCCTGCCTCGGGCGCTACCACCTCTTCAACATCAGTGTCGGCATTCACGAACATGTCCTTGGTCGCTTGCACTAGGTCGGTCAAACGGGTATACATGGTATCTCGTGCTTCTCCCAGCTGTTCGGATCTTCGCGAGTCTCGTTCCCATACTTCTTCGACGACTTTGAGTAGTTGGCGACACGCAACAACGGAGTGTCGGGTAATCTGGGCGAGCTCTTCAGAAGACCGTGATTGGAGGTGCAGCCCGATGAAAGAACCAATGTAGCCCAAGAAAGCGTCGTGTGCGGCGTTCAGCTTCTCAGTGGCTAAGTTTCCTTTACGTGCACTTGCTGATTTACCGGTGTACGACAATCGGTGCGTCACAGAAACACGTTTCGACTGGACTGATGAGCGCGAAGGCAGTACCGGTGATTGAAGAGAGTCTGGCTCTGAAGGCAAAGAAAAGGCAACCGATAGGCGATTCAGGTTTCGTGAGGGGTGTGCGGTTGCGCTGTACCAGTCGTCGTGTGCAGATGGTGTACCTTGTGTGACTGGAGAGTCGCAGCCGTTCGCCAGAAGTCTGTTCTCGCCAGCAGGAGCTGATGTTTCTGTTGGTTCCACAGCAGCGTCGACTGAGTCGGACGGCGGGGTGAGTGGTCGATGACTACTTGCGTCGCCAAGCTCGAAAAGCGACAGCGCCACTGCGTCCGTTGTCCATATGTCGAGGAACCGGACGGCCCGGGTGACCAGCTTAAATGATTTGAAAACAAGCTCGTCCATGTGCTCGAACACGGGAACCTGGAGTTCGTTCGATTGCAAGGCCTCTTGCAAGGTCTTGGCTGTTTTGACTAGTGTGGACAAATCTCCCAAGAGAGCTTTCCGCATACGCCGTAAGCTTACATGGGTGAGGATGAGGCGTGAGTCTTTCTGCAAGCATTCAGTCCTTTCCTGATAGAAGTTAGTGAATGAGCTAGAAACACGCTCCGTTTACCCCGTTACTGAGTCCACTTACGAGAAACAGGCGCACGCCAACAATCATGCCCTTTACATAATCTTGTCTCGAAAATGCACCGAGATCGCCATTCTCTCCATCGCGCACCAAATCCCAGAGATACGTTAACGCGGTTAACAGGTTCCGGATTATTGGATTGTCATAAGGTTCGCAGTAATTGGTGGGCAGCCACCCGCGGGCCCCTGAAGCTAAGAGTGTACCATCAGCCCAACCATTAGGATGAACGGAATGAACAAGGATAACGTCGCCTTGGTTGATGGCGACGGTGATGGAAGATTCGTCGGTCGACGAGGATACCGTTGAGCTTGGGCTGTAATGGTAAAATGCGCGGAGGTAATTGTGGAAGACGGGTTGAGGATGCTGCTGCTCCTGCTGCTGTTGAGCCATAGCCTCGCTGGAAGTCTTGGGTGTTAGAGGAGGCGATATCTGTGATTGCGACCGGCTCGATAGAGTTCCTCTTGAGGACGACTGCCTGCTGTGACCGAAAACGCCCCGACCGACACGCGATCGCGACCTTCTTGGTGACTTCTGAATGTTCAGTGGCGCTACTAGTGCGCTCGATCGCTTATCCATCTCTTCTTGCTCGGGAACGAATGACGCCATGTCGGTATCCATGACGGTATCCATGACAAGTACGTGAAGCGGATGAGATGTTGAAGTGAGATGCTCCTTGTAGTCGTCTAGCTGGACGTTGCACTTCGGCTAGCACACGTCCCAAGCATCTGGTAGTCGCCCAGGTAGATTGATAGAAAGGTAAGATAGGTTGGTCAATCGCACACGATTAAGATTATGTGTGATAATTGAAGTCTATGTTGAAAGGTCGTACTGTTTGCATGTTAACGGATAAGATGCGACAAACGGAGCCTGACGTACCCGATGGCTAGCGCACGGTAATGTGAATGCTAGATAGTGAAGCAAGTGA